TGGTGAACATGAAGTCAGGTCGCGACATGCTGGTGAACATGAAGTCAGGTCTCGACATGCTGGTGAACATGAAGCCAGGTCCCGACATATGCTGGCGAACATGAAGTCAGGTCTCGACATATGCTGGCGAACATGAAGTCAGGTCTCGACATGCTGGTGAACATGAAGTGGTCTCGACATATGTTCGCCTCAAATTGCACACGGCATCGAAGGTTTTCTGAGTGGATCCAGCTGGCTACATATACGTAAGCAATTGTTTGATATTGCAGCCCTCAAAAATGGTTCTAAAAATGGTCATAAGTAATGCATTTCTATTTATAAATAGTGTGTGTTTCAAGATAATTTGAGTGCATCAGTTGCTAATGGATAGGAACTTGGAAGAAAAAATTTTTACTAAATTTTCCCAGACTTTCATTTTGTAGACCTGCTCCATTTATTATACTCTTAAAATTATAGAACAGAGTTATAACCAATTTTACCATACTTACGAAGTGCGGAAGTGGACATTAATTAGTAGCAATTTTACAATCTAAAAAAATTAATGTGAAAAATCTTTTAATTTACAATATCAAGCACTGAAAAAATGTGGAGGCGTTGTTCAAACAAGCTTAGCGACTTGAAGTTTATTGATTTCAAAATTCAAGCTTCCTCAATATCTTTATTCACTAATATCATGAAATCTTTATAATTTTTACGAAACCGTGCCAAATATTTAACGCTTTTTCTTCATACCTGCATGAAATTGTTACTTGATAGGTTTCCACCCGTTATGTTTATTTTTAAGCGTTCTTTGTTTTGAACAATTTAATTATTCATGTATTCTCGGATTTAGAATGGATGATGGAGCTGGTCTCCGTAACGTGTTCATTGGTTATATAGTGTGTGCTTCTGAGTGAGCAAGGAGGGCTACACCTGCAGTTATTTGATATACCGTGACTTATATAGTTGGAGATCGTTAACCCTCTACCGCCGTATGTCACTCTCCGGGAACATAACAGTCAACTTAAATTATACGTAAACTACTGAGTGTAGCAACCTGCATGGGGACGTTTGTACGCAACAGAGAACATTTTAAAGTTGTCGTACGTGGCGGCAACCATCAGTGCAAGTCATTTTGCGCTCACTAGAACGTATCCTTTTTGGGAAGTAGGCGCGTGACAATATTGCTCCGGTTACTCGTGTCAGGCGGTAGAGGGTTAAGATATTGCCTCGAATGAAGACTTTCGTGAGGCGTAAGTTTATTCAGTGGGCTTTACATTTAACGAATACATTCTTTTGATTATAACTTAGTTAAATTATTGATTATATACTTATGAAGAATTTAATTATATATCGTTCCACAACAAGATGCATGCAGGTCTAGCATTGAGGGTAGCAGTTTAATATTTTATAGCAATATAAAATAAATACCCTATTTTACCCTATTTTAGTAAAATATACCCTATTTTATAGCAAAGCAATTTAATATTTTTATGAATTTGTTTTTCTTACTGCATAACTTCATTCATCTCAACTCTCATATTGTCTTCGATGAAGGAATAATTTGTTAACGAGGGGAAAATTCATCCGTTACTGCCCATGTTTACATTCCGGCTTTTCTGCTCGCCGATGAAGTCTTGAACACTTTTACCGTCTTATGATATTCGTTAGGGTGATAATTTCCATCCAAAACTGTCCTCCTTTACAATAAAGTTCAATCATAATCGTCATATAATGAAGTTTTAAGTAGAGTTTATCGGCTAAAAATCAAAGTTGGTCAATTAAAAAAAAAAAAGAATTCGTACTCGCATTAATGGCCTGCATAGAATTGTACGTTCCAAACTATATATGATCTTGTACATAACTCTTGTATAATTTTCAGGCATTTTAATATGAGGTGCAAGTTGTTCATCAAAAAATGTAATTTTTCAACATATATAAACAACTTTGATCATTCGCTCCCTGTTTAAAATAACTATAATGGAAGTTGCGTCTAACAGAAATTCAAATAGTTCGTCTCTTTCATCTCCTCATCTTCAAGTAGTCTGGCTACACGCTCATCGCAAATTCTAGGCATACTGCACGTCTCCAGATATGTAATTTTTTCTCTCCTATTCACTGAGAAGATGGTGGAGTATTTTTACACCTATCTTGTGCAAAATACAGAATAAATAAATTTTTTGTTGCACGATATAATGGAGACGGGCATTGGTCATTACTTTTCTTAATGCTTTTAAGACCTGAAGCGATTGTCCGACGGTGAATTAATATCATAATATAGGCATTGCTTCTTATTCCATTGGATCATTATTTTTGTACCTTTTAATTGCAATAAAATCTGTAGTGAAAATTTGAATGCTTTTCATTGGAGTTTTTCTGTTTGTAAATCCTCAACTTATGACAAGGAAGATTAATCATTTGACATAAATAACCTCTGAATTATTCGTTACAACATAATTTGTTTCAGCATAGCTTTCGTCGAGAACAGCATTGCTTGCAAACCCAACGTATATTTACGACCGTGCCATGATTATCTGTATTACATTTTCACTGTTGATTTTCTATTCAAAAATTGCTTGGGAAGTTGCAGCGTCTGTAAAATTTTGACGTATTTCAAATTCCGCGGAAAGGAACTCATGTTTAAAGAATAAAACCTAAATTTAATATTGGTTTTACTTCTGCGTTAGAGCGAACTGTGAAATTCATAATCAATTTTCTACAGATTTCTGAAGTTGTCAGCTGCGATATAATTGGGATGTAACCTCGCGCGACGGCACTCGGCGGACTTCATATCCAGTCCATCAAGCGCTTCATATCCAGTCCATCAATCGCTTCATATCCAGTCCATCAAACCCTTCATCCCCAGTCCATCAAGCACTCCATATCCAGTCCATCAAACACTTCATATCCAGTCCATCAAGCGCTTCATATCCAGTCCATCAAACAATTCATATCCAGTCCATCAATCGCTTCATATCCAGTCAATCATGCACTCCATATCCAGTCCATCAAATATTTCACATCAACTACCGTCCGTTGATGTGCCCATGATGATGTCCGTCCGAGACTCGAGCCATGGATGGTCTGCGTTTTTCCGCGGTCTTGATTCTAATTGATCCTGATGGATTAGTCCAATTATAAATTTGTAGTCGATGCTAGCTGTTGGTCGAGCTTGACTTATGTGAAATCATGAGCTGCTATAGGCTGTGGCACGTAGCAATGCTCGCTATGTGAAATGCAATTAGCGTTTATTATTTATTATGAAAAATTCCTATATGCCCCTTCGCTCCAATGAGATTCGCATCTCATGACATGACTGACTTTAAAATCGGCTATGATTAATTGTTATTATTTGTCATGTAATTGAATGTATCAGATGCTCTGCGTGTTTCTTATGATTTACATGCAGTCACATTAAATGCCTACAGTAACTACCAGCATTTTGCACTGCAATTCTCGTTCAAACAAAATGCTTCTTTGAATTGAGCACCTGGGTTACGTAGGGGCCATACTTTCAAAATACGCTAAATAGATGTAAGTACTTATGCTCTATTTCCTTGTCTGTGATTGGTGGATTTGGCTTGATAGGCCGTCAATGATTGGCTGATGAACTTACGATCTCTTAACTTTTTTTGAAAGTATAGGCCCTGGACACTCACTTCAGCTTCACCGTGGGCTAATCAAGCAACAAAAATGTTTTTAATTGTTCACGCCATCAGAAGTTTATCGCAATCGAACAACGCCTGTCGATTTTCTTGCACGTAATGACTTAATAATTTTTAGTGAAATTCAGAGAGTTGCTGGATAATTAATTCAATTTTTGTGAAGGTATCTTTTATTACAATTTTTCTCCCCAAGCCGGCCGTGCATTCCTAGTAAAGGTTAATTTACCTTCATCGAACTAGCATATAAATTAGCTAATGCAGTTTGATTTTTCCACTGCTTCGTAAGCCCTTATAAGCGGGTAGATTTGTATAAATTTGTGTCTCATCAGTAATTATTTAGTAAATTAACGTGTTATAGAAACTATAATTATTCACTCTCTTCGTATTTTTTTCACTTGGAGTGAAGTCAATGTTTGCTTGTGATTTATTTATAAAATCGTTCAACCAAACCATTCAAATTACTTATACTTATTTGTTTACTAACGATGAATTAAAACGGGAGAAGTAAAATTAAAACGATTGATTATAAGCTGCCACGATGATCTGGAATTTTGAACATCAAGGAGGCCGTCCATTTCAAGTTCTGAAATCTGATTTACCGATGCATAAATTTACGAATTAGTAATTTTTTTACAGGATAAGCAATAGATTTTTATTTATTGATTTCCTATTGGTTTTTGATTCGATTCGAGGCTAGCTTATTTATATTTTAATAATTATTCTTAGGTGTTTTCATCCAGTGCATGCATGATGCATGTGCTATCAAAAACTTGGAGCAGGAAGAAAATGGTCTGACCGTGTCCAGAAGGCATGTTGTCAAAGAAAACGTTACTTCCTCCAATTTTCCGGGGAGACTGCTTAATATTGTTCATGATATTTGTTATCGCAGTCATTTTTTCAGTTGCACCTCAATTAACCGTTATATCTAACGAATAAACATTTCTCCCAATTCAGCCGTCGACGCGATCCCAATTCTCGGAATTGGGAACAAATTTCATTTGGATCAGCTTAGTTCGGCTCCTGAGACTCGGGGCATTTTGCTGCAATTATAAACAGTTATTATTTAACTGAATCAAAATCGCTTCAAAATTGAAGGATTTAAGGCTGGGAGACTGGCGCATTACTCGGAACATGCGTTCAAGCCCGCTGTGGAGAAGAATCTCCTGGAAACATTTCGTTCTAAACAACGATTAGGAACAAATTAACATTATCTCCTGGCTGGTATTTCTTACACCGTTGCACAATTGCAGATCATTCATACAAATTGTACTCAGAAATTATTCTTCGTGAGTAATTTCAGAGCGCTGGATTGCGTTCATTATAGAATTAGTATATCATTTGTATATCTCTGTGCAGAGCTGCGAGGTTGGAGCAGCTACAGCCGGCCATGCTGAGTACTCTTTGGCAGCGTCGTCATCCGCGTCCGAATGTTCCTCCGCTCCAGCCTCTCCTGGCGCCTCCCCTCCACCGCACGACGACGCGCTCCAATCTCGGGTGAACATCGGGGCACTTTTGTTGATTTTATGTTGGGATTAGCAGAAAAGTTTTGATTTGAAATGTTTTCCAGTAATTTGCTAATATGTATATAATTTCATAATTATTAATAAATTCAGATAAAGTCTTTATAATATAAATTATAATATAATTTGGGATTAGCAGAAAAGTTTTGATTTGAAATGTCTACCATTTATTTGCTAATATGTTTACATTTTTTTTTTATTTCTTAATTTCTGAGTACATGAAATGTTGGCACAAATATTGGGCCTTGATTAAAATGGAACGGTTGTAGCTGAGCTAAGTTCGCGTTGCAAGTGTTGGCGCGCGTTTTGTTTAACTATTCATACAATAATTTCTCATGCTTCTAGGTTGTTTTGACCTCAGGATGACGTACTTGAATATCTGGTAAATTTAATTCATGTGTAAATATCCAGATTAAATTAATAATCTCAGTTTAATTGAATTATTCAATTTGAATTATTCAATATAATTCATTGAATTCAATAAATAAATATGAGGAGGTCATTCAATAAATAAATATGAAAATGAAGCCGTCAGTGCCCCAGACATTAACGCATAGTCATATGGTAAGTACTCACGCTATCGAGGGTAGGATGAATAAAACTGAATAAATACCAGAATAATAAAACGGACGACGTGAATCATTCTACGTATGTCCTTGTTTCGAAGCCTTTCTGCAGACACAAATAAAAGTAAATGTAGAATTAACAATACCAATAAACTTATAAAGGAAATTATATCATATAATTCATCACATAAATTTATACTACAATTCTGAAAATATTTACGATCGGTTAAAACACCACTGAACGACAAGGGTACAACTGACACAAAAATAAGCACAACTAATCAAACCAAAAATCTGAATGAAAATTTACAACGGATTCCTACGAGACGTCGCGTCAGAGGTAACTTGAAACCGAAACAACAAATTGCATGTATCCCATTGATCCTCTACAACGTCTGATAAGATTTCAATTATTTCCAGAGGAGAGACCCTGTCCCTTTACAACGTCTGATAAGATTTCAATTATTTCCAGAGGAGAGACGCTGACCCTTTACAACGTCTGATAAGATATCAATTGTTTCCAGAGGAGAGACGCTGACCCTTTACAACGTCTGATAAGATATCAATTATTTCCAGAGGAGAGACAGAGACGGTTTATCATGCATCAGCAGCGATGTGGCTTGCGCTGTCAGCAAAAGCAGCGGCTGTAACATCGTCAGCAGCGTGCAGTTGCCCTCAGGTCTGCTTATCACGCCCACGCCGCCTCCTTCTACGCTTGAAGGTCAGTTCTTATTATATTGCAGTGATTGTTGTCTTTATTTATTTACTTTACTGTCCACTTTTTGAACATTTTACCAGTAACTCTTTACGAATGTTCATCTTTTAAGCGCATTTTCTCATTTATGGAAAAAATGCACTATTGTGCTCGCCATGTCCGTCTGTCCGCCCGTCCGTCCGTGACTTCACGTTTTCGTCGACGAGAAAATGCGCTCTAGCTGTCACTAACTGCAGTGAGTACTGAGTTGTATTTTTTACTCTATCGCCCACTTTTTGTGCATGTTACCAATAACTCATCACAAATGTTCATGTATTTAGATATGAGCGGAGTATATCGGAGTACATTCTCGATTTGAAAACTATAGAATAGTATAGAATAAAAGTGTCGGCAGTGAAGAAATAGGCTATGTTGTGAATCTGTATTGGAATAGTTTTTTTTACCAACGGCATTGGTATTTGGATATCCATACGCAAGAAATTTCTACATACATTAAATACAATATAAGTTTCAGGTACATAAAATCCATATAAGTGTGCATTAAAGGATCATAATACCAGTGTGCAGGGGGCAGATGATGATGTTCGCAACCAATTATGGCCAAAAATCAAACCCATTTTAACTGCCTTGCTCAGAGTGTTGAACACACTGCAGCTTATATTCTACTTGTGTATGAAATACATGTGTGCAAACCTTGATGGTAATGTCTTGTGTTCAAGTGCCGTTGTGGTGCGTAATGTGATATAAGAGGATCGATGGCTGCCTGTCATTTAAACCATCCAATATCCTTTCCCAAACTCAATATCTTGCATTTAATTCTGCTAATACTTTACATGTATTCATAACATCTGCAGGTGCAGGTGCCGTTGTGGTGCGTAATGTGATATAGGACGATCGATGGCTGCCGGTCATTTAAACCATCCAATATATCCTTTCCCAAACTCAATATCTTGCATTTAATTCTGCTAATACTTTACATGTATTCATAACCTCTGCATGTGCAGGCGCCGCTGTGGTGAGCAATGCGATGTATGCGCCTGCAGCAGACGGTGTCGCCGCGCCCCTGTATCTTCCTATACGCTTCGCGCACAACATCGGTGAGAAGTTTATGCGATTCACATCTCATTACTCATGATAACTTTAAAATACTTGATATTCCAATTAATTCATAATCTCTGTAATTCTAACATCGTTAGCGATTACATGTTTTCTGTATTCAGCATCGAAATGACTCACGTTGAATTTAGCCCATATAATTCATCTGAATTTCTCCTCAGTATCGCTTCCACGAGCCGAAGTAAAGCGCTCCGAAGATTCGTCACCGAGTTCCGCGAACCGCAACATTGCGATGGGATCTACCAGCGATCTCGCTAGCGTGATAAACAACAGCAACTTCATCAGGAAACTTGCGAGCAACGACCTCAGCATCAGCACGAGCGTTGTTACTTCCCTCCAACGCCCCTCAGACGCATGCAGCGTTATAGGCTCCAGTAGCTGTAGTAACACAGGGACGTTCACTGGTAGCGTTATAAACCAGACGATCGTTGATGGTAAAAGATGTCGAGTCAGCATAAGAAGTCAAGGTGCACAGGAGTATCATAGTGATAAAGCCAGTGATTATGGCCAAAACAACGCCGGCATTTTCTTGGATCTTATCAACCGCGGTGCTGACAATGCTAAATCTAATGATGCTTCTACGTTTTCCTCTAATCCTCCGTGCGGTACGAGTGTTAGTTCTGGTCAGAAAATTGCACCGATGCCAGCAAATGTTGCAGGCTCGATCAGTGTCAGCCGACACTATCCCATTGCTGCCAACCCGTCTAGTTCCAATACTGTCAATCGACCAAGATCTACCAATCGATCACCCCCGTCTGCCAGTAAATCAAGCTCAACTGTCAGCCGATCGAATGCCACTGCCAGTCAATCAAGTCAAACTGCCAGTCAATCAAGTATAAGTGCTAGTTTATCAAGCCCAAGTGTCAGGCGAACTAATTCAACTGGCAATCGACCAAATTCAGCTGGCAGTCGTCCCAACACAACTGAGGGACACCTGAGTAGTCTTGAGACATCTAGCCAGCCCAGCCCAAAACTGGTCGCAGAATTTCGCCCGGAAAGAAGTTCCTGTGCCAAGTGGCTGCTCAGCGACGACGAGGAGGAGGAGGACGAGGGCTCGACACTTCGAGATGACGAAGAGTCAACTCGTCGAAACGATGACAACGGAGATAGCGATGTCAGTTTCCAACAAGCTTTCCCGACCGACTTATCCATGAACGTCAAGCGCAAGAAGTGAATAAATGATTATGAATTAATGAACAAACCATATCATATTGTTTGGACGAACCATATATTATCTCGAATGAGCAAACCATATTTTCTTGAACGAGCGAACCAAATTATCTTGAAAGCTTTAACCGTATTATCTTGAATGGGCTAATCATATTACCTTGAATGTGCAAAACATATCATCTTATTTGGACGAACAATATTATCTTGAATAGGCAAAATATAGTACCTTTGATGGGCGAACCATATTATCTTGAATAAGCAAAACATATTATCTTCATGGTTTAGCGAACTTCATTCCCTTGAAAGGACAAAATATGGTCGCTTTTATATATGAACCAAGCATTCTTTAATGGATGACATGCACACTGGAATAAGTGAACTGACGTAGATGTGCCGCCTCCATCCCTGGCGCGGACGTGTCGCCCTGACAGCCTGAGAAGATAGAGCGTTTCCAGTGGACGATGTTTGCCTGTCTTGCGCGTGAACTTTGCCAGTTCAATGAAAAGTCTGCCTCAAAAATAGATTGTACCTGACATCGGGTTCTTATGTTCTAAAAATTAGTGATCAGCTATTGTTTGCTGAAGAGAATGTGTTCAACTTATACTTCTCACTATATTTATAGTTTACTCCTATTCATACATTGCTATTTTTCAACCTTGAGCTTTTTCAGTGGTATAATTGTCTATTTTTGGGCTTTATTGGCATGCTTATTTGTCCAACTTTCCCAGCGATCTTCATGAATTAACTTTGCTGATTATTTATCATCCTGAATTATAATCCTGCAGCTCGCGTAGTTTTCATAACAAACTTTTATTGACTTTGATAATATGTTATTGTATTGAAAATTACCTTTAAATCGGATTTGTATCCAATTATAATTATTTCCTGAGCGATAATTTAATACGGGAAATAAGAAAATTTCGTGTTTGTTCATGCCTTGCTATATGTGTTGTAATCACTGAATATCCCGACCGAGATTCTACTATTTATAATTAAAGTTAAATAATGTAAATTGTAAATAATGTTGTTCATGGGAATGTACGTGCCTTCCTCCTGCGAGTTTAAAGAGCGCTTTTGTCTTGTAATTTTTTGTAACAGGAAGTCATTGTTTTCACTGATGATACTCTCAGGAACGTTGATTATTATACCAATTATTAACCATACCAGACCCATCGCCGGTTATATTGTGCGAGTTATCCTGCAGTCAAGCTACAAATATTCAGTTTATTGGCGGAGTTCTTTGAGATGTTATTAAGACTTGAAATAACTTTTGAGTGTTATTACGAGTTGAAATAACTTTCGAGAGCGACCTCTTGTCTTGGAGATTTTGCCCATCTTTGTTCCTTATCAGTCTTGATTTGCAGTCTAGCTAGTGGCTTTTTCAGCAAGTTATTTGGTCGTTTTCTCACCTGAATCATGGAGTTTAGAATAACTCATGCAAATGCTCGTTATTTCGATGCATTAGTAGCTGATCATGCAATTGAGTTGTTATCTATTATTAAAACGTGCCTTTACCACTAATATAATATTGCTAGTTGTTATGCCTTAACTCTTTTTTATGAAGAGTTGTTTACCACTTCTCTCCTCGACCTCATGGGCATTTCACTTGTAGGTCAATGACCGTACGCATTGTTGGATGATAAAAAAAAAGCGATTATTAATCTAAGAAAATTGTTGCGATTCACAACCTATTTTTCAGGCAAAAAGTTTTTTTACTCTTTAAACTATTTAACAAAATGTGTATTTCATTGCGTTTCTTCAGTATTTACTGTTAGCGAACTTAACCTCCCTTGTATAACTCCCAACGCTATCTTTGTTATAAATAAGAATGATCGTGGTTTTAATCCCATTTAATTGCGGGCGATTATCAGCTCGAATTTATACCACTTGCCAAACTTAAAGTTTAGAACGGAACTCTTTTTTTTTTAACCATCATCAATGTTATAGAACAGTATTGTGAACGTCGTTTGTGCTTTAGAGTTTGTTTGCGGTGATAGGGAACGAGCTTATACTTTACGATGAATATCATGGGAATTTAAATAAAAAATGAGTTATTACTAATTTTGTTATCTTGTCCTCTGTGCATTTTTATGGCGAGGAAGTAAAATTACTGCTGGACCATATCTTCAGTCTTTAAATGCCTAGCACCTTACGGCCCAGGCAATAAGTCCAGCAGCTATCTCAATCAATCGTCAGTTATGGAAAGATCGGGTTCCAAAGGCCGGATCCCTTGTGAATCAAGCCACGAAAAGTATAAAGGATCGGCAACAGGCCATGGACCTATTTCTTCAACGCCGACACTTCTATTCTATTCTACTTTCTACAACCTATTCATAACTATTGTTATGAATAGGCAACTATTGTTTATTGTATTACGATGCCAATTGTTCGCCAAGCCTTTCCCATAGAGAATTATTTTGAAATCTTCGCCATTTTCTGCCTTCTGTCCGTGTGTTTTCGTTAAACGATGCAGAAGTGCATTATAATAGACTATTTCGGCTTTCTAAAGTCACTTTGGGATTCACAGTTGTTCGTAATTAAAGATACGAGTTTAATTATTTAAAGACGATAAGAAGAGCCAAGTTCTTTTATGAGCGACGTGGTTGCATCTGAACATATTTAAAATACCTAGTTGACTTTTTAAATATCATATTTATTTGATGTATCATAAAATAAGACTATTTAATGCGATATAAATGTCAGACCCACAGAATTTGAACCTGTAAATCTCGCAATTTTCATCACAAACGTCGATTTACTTTAATATAATGTGTTCATATTGAAAATTGCCCATAAAGAGGCTTTGTCCCGGCGGTTTGGTACGGTGCAATCGGAACTGAGCTGTTGTGATTGGCTTGCATAGCTAGGCGCTGTGGTGACGGTGAGATAACAGAATAGTGCAGTGTCGGCATGAAGAAATAGGCCCCTGGCCTGTTGCCGATTCTTGAATTTTTTGTGACTTGATTCACAAGGGATCCGGCCTTTGGAACCCGATCTTTCCACAACTGACGATTGATTGAAATAGATGCTGACACTGTGGGACCGGTGCTAACTGCTCGTAACTTCCTTCGTTGATATTAGTTTTTACAGCAAGATTTGTGGATGTTACTTAGATTCTGGGAGGGGATAACGGGTGTGCGTTGGAGTTAATGTTCGGTTGTCTTCATCATCATATTTTGAAGTGTTTGATATTATTTTAAGTTAAAAACATGCGCCATGCCGCAAAATTTAATGTCGACGTTTAATTTCCTGCCAGTGACACAACATTTTCATAATCTGACCTGAGGCAAAATTATGACAACTGTCTTACTTGTTTCTTGTCCGTAATAAACTACAACCCTTAATGTAGATATGAGACGTGTACCAGTTTTCATGAATCCTATAGTTATTAAACAAAAAAAAAAGTGAGTGAATTTACAGCTGACACCTCTTAAAGTAATGCAGAACTGGGCTGGCTTACCATACAAACGTGGTCTGCTGTTTCTGTCTTTGAAGCTGCGTGTGGTTATTGCATGGTAACATATACATGTAATATAGCTGTTTCAGCGTTCATTACTGTCGCAGATTCTTAACATGGCAGAAAATTTACAGTATTCTGCTCTGCTAACCGCCCGGCTTCCTCGCTGATTCTGACCAGAAACTGGCGCTCAGAGCTGGGATCGAACCCGCGCCTCTCAGCCTCTCTGGACCACACTGGCCAAGATGTAATGCTGGCTCTCAACTTTCAAGTGGCTAGCTCTAAGGCAACCTTGAGAGTAGAATTCATGGCTCACGGCAAGTATGACTGAATAAAATATGGTCGATTAAAGAATAGCGGTTTTAGCGTTCATTAAGCCGTAGGCCTGTCGCCGATTCTTAACATCGCAGAACATTCACAGCTTGTTGCGGTCTCGAACTCACAACTCACTGCTCCAAATTTTGCTTATTCCAAATATTTCAATCATTCATGTTGCATAATTGCGGACGACAAGAATTGGGGTGCGTTCAACCGAGGACGCAGCGGTGGGCCACAAATATAACTCTAAAATATACCCTAGAACAAACTCCTCAGCCTCAACATGCAATAACTGCACTCAGACTTAGAGTTAGAAGCCGCATAATGCACTGGAACACCGTTATTTAGAACAGTGAAAGATGATAGCGCCGTAGGTCATCGGCCAATACTTGTGCATGCTTTCCCGTAAGCAGGTATAATTCTGCATCCGGCCTAACCTATTCACACTGCCCTGAGTCTGACTCTCAACTTTCTTCCAGACTGACTGTACTTTCTCACTTGCTCCGCCTCAATAACTTCCTGTAGCCAATGAGGTTAGGAGGTCCGCTCATGCTTCATTTTGGCGAGAAATGTTGCCACGCGTGGAGGTTCTACCAGATGTAGTTAGGCCGGAGTAAGTTACGGCAAATGCAGTAAGACCAAGCTCAACTCAAGTATGCTTAAGCGGTGGTTGTGGACGTACGGCACTTTGGCTTTACACATTTGAGTTTTTTTTAGAGTTTTCACCGTCGGAAAGGATTGTGGACTAGAGTGTAAAGCTGGGCAAAGATGGCTTCCTGCATGCCATGGTTGAATTATTGCATGTTTGCACCGGACCACCGGTCAACTGGCGGTAGTTGCCGTCTTGCTGCCGTCGTGAGTGGTGTTGCGGAAATTGCAAGACTTGCAAACCTGTTTCTTCTATGAGCCTTCTAGATCCAAGTTAGCTTATAGTAAAAAAAGTGAAACTTTTTTCTAATCTTGTAAAAGTGTATACGGTTTTAAACTGAATTATTGAAATTTAGGACTGAGACACAACCTTACGAATACGATCACGCGACCACATCGTGATATCTTTTTTGTTCAAATTAAAAATATTAAGTCATAGAAAGGAAGAAGATTTGTGATTTCTTGATAATATTGTAAAATGGGTTAGTGGAATTGAGGCAAATCTGGATTTTTGTGAAAGTATTGACCATTGACGGAAACGTAAAGCCTATATATAATGCTAACTCGAGTGTCCACCAATGCCTGAATCGTCAAATTTGACGTATCAACCGATCGCGTACCCGGCGGGCCGGCTTCAAATACTCGATACTTTACAAGTTAATACTGTAGAAGACCAAGAAGCTATGACTGAGTTGAAATTAAAGAACAACAATGTAAGGCATTTAGCTTACAAGTTATGTTTCCTCCATAAAGCTCCATTCATTTTTAGCCTGGCTTATGTACGCAGTTGTTAATTGTTATGACTTTGCTAATGTTGTGATTATGTGATATTGTTGTCTATTGTCAGTATTGAGTCTTGTGGGAACTGGGAAGACAGGACGTGAGAGATTTTATGGAATCCAGCTCAAGTCAGTAAAGTGAGCTCATCATCAAGACTAATTTCCTGATCTGGATGGTCTGCACTCTACTGTCAATGCTAATAATGCTGTCACAGTTTCACATCACTCACATGCCCATGATTCTTATTTTGGCCGTCAAAAGAACTATTCTATTTTGTAAATAAAACTGAGCCACAAGTCACAACTTTCCAGTTTAATAGAAAAAGCTTAATACTTATCATTATATCAAATTGGTTATTGGGACAGGTACTATAGGATAACATTTTTTATTGTTCTTCTTCGAGTTCTTTTTGAGTCCTATAAGTACACCAGTAAATAGTAAGTAAGTATCTTGCATGCCAGCATTATACATAAGAAAAACATTTCATAATCGAGTTCATTTTAATGGTCTTTAACTTTGTGAGGGCTATTGTATGGCGTGTCCAAAAATTTCATTTGCTAACCATAAGGTTCCAGAAGCAAAAAAAGCATCCCGAATCACCCTTGGACCTTGGTAACTGGGTTATCTGGGAGACTTGAAATAAAACATAAATTTAGAACATAAATTTAGAACGTTTGAAGCATGCAGAGTGAGAGTGTACATACTCGAGATCTATTAGTGATAGTATTAATAACACTAGGCTAACAGTACTGTGAAGTCTTCATCTTCATTTGTAGACAAAGTAGATTCAGAATAGGCCTAAATGACATTTTCTGCAATTTGTACATGTTTTTTTCTTTATTGATATTACCAAATAGTTTTTCATTAACTAAAACTATTCCAATCTATACCTAACACTTCTAAAACCTCCTCCCAAAAGGACTTTCATGCCTTTGATAACAACCTTGTCCACTGCAAGCTCCATATCAGCAGCCTCAGCAGGCATATAACATTTCTTCTATAAGCTTATGGGACTGGGCTTGTAATTTTGCACCATCTTAATTTGTTCAAGTGAATTAATTCACTATAACAAAGAAGATCATAAAAATATACCTGAAACAGAAAGGAATATTTTTGTGATAACATCATATTTTTTGGAGAAATAAATCATAGTTTCAGTTAATTACTCTTATTCTATGTTGCCTGGTGCACAATTGTATCCATGACATTCTTTGCACAATTGTGTTGACCAATGATGCACTAATTTTTTATTAAGTGACATTTTTTGTCAAGAGAGATAAATTTGATCAAAATTCTTTGCTATTAACCAATTATTTTTGTTGACCAGAGCCTTTGCTAACTGAGGTTCTACCTACTGTATATATGATTTTAGGGGTGTCCCTTAATCCTTATTACCCTCGGGGAGGTGTCCTGTAATACCACGAACATTTTTGCGCAATGATGGAGGACTGTTCTTGTGTCCTGATTTACCCCACCCATTCCTTATTACCCCGTTTGACAGTATTGCTGAATAGTTACTGTGTTATTGACAGCTAATTAAATGAGTGCAATGAAAATTCATGAATATTTTATAGCATTGGTTCAAATTGGTTTTGGGTGAAATATATTTCCAGAATATAAATTATTTTTATTGCTAATGAGGGTGAATTTCATTGTGATGAATATATTAAACAGAACATGTAATATGAACAGATTAGAAATAAATGTTTACTACTTATTATATATTTTTAAAAATTTATTTCAGTATTTTCACTAGTTGAAACATAGCTTAAGGGAAAACTATAATAATATACTCTCTGCCTAAAAATATTCAAGCAATACTGGGCAGCTGGGTCCGCTCTTGCACCATTATTGTCAATTGAAGGCCTAGACTGAAGTTTGTTTCATGATTATAACAATGCATTATGCATCTCTGCTGTCCTGGCATATTTACTTTCTTAATATTAATCATTATGTCTGCCTAATGTATATTAATTTCATGTTCTTGCTTTCCGCAGTTGGTGTACAATGTGATGGGTCGGAGTGACTGGCGTCCATTTGTGTACGGAGGAGTTTCTGCATGCATTGCGGAATTTGGTGAGCATTCATTGTTATAAGATATTGGCTGAAAAATTGCTGTTTTGTTAACCTACTACTGGTACTTTAGATGTATTTTTGAATCCATTCATTGGCATTAATGTAATAAGTTGAATATGATATTTTTTCATCTGGGTGCTTTTGGTTAGTCTTGTTTGGCAGTGGTGGTGTTGGTTGGTGAGTGCAAGTTGCAAATGGCTGGTAGGTCTACACTCTACAGTTTGTTCACTCCATCTAAAGCAGAAATTGATGTCTGATCAGATGTATGCTCTCCTCACTAATAATGCTAACTAAATTTATTTATATCATTGAGTTGATCACTCAGCAATATAAATAGGGAATTAACTGCATGCTTTACTAGTGTTCCTTATCTCTTTATTTATGTACAGACAAAACTTGTTTTTCAGCTATCATATGAATTTACTAAGAATGATTAGGTAACTTTGTAAAAATTTTCTGAGCCAGGAATGAGTAATTTGTTATGCAATTAGATTATTTTGTGAGCATCATTGATGTATTTCTGGATTCAGAAGCATAAGGCTTGTAGAATTGATCAATATCTGTAAAAGCTTCTCTAATTTGTGTTAATTTTTCTAGTAATTTAATATAAAAGGCTCCAATTCACATGCAGAATTTTTCAAGCATTTCCTTATGTTTGAACTAATCTGAGTTGCCAGGTCATATAAATCTGTAATTTTTTTTTGTCTCATTGATTTTTTACAGAAATATTCTTCCCTTTCTGACCCAATAGGAATGTATACATAATTTGAATATTTGGGCGTTGTAATTTGAACTGCAGTGAGTACCTATTTGTAGAAAACATGTTTATATTTAAAACCCAAATAAGTAGGCATCAGATAGTAGGACGTAATAAGCGGTATTTGTAATATTGAGTATTTGTAGAAAACATGTTTCTATATAAAACCCCAACAAGTAGACATCAGTAAGATGTAACAGGCACTGCCATGTATGCAATTTCTTGAGAGCAAGTGTGAAGCTCATTATGAACAAGTGCACAAATTTTAAGTTTATTGAGGTCTAGCCTTTCTTTATAAGTCAATATTATTGATGATTTAAAAGCATGTTGGATAATTTTTGCTGCAACTTTCCAGTAATCGCATCTCAATTTTAGTATTCTGCATTTCATATATGCTACATCAGTGAGATTTTTATGTCCATAAATCTTCATCTATTAACAAAATCATAATGACCATGAACAATCTGTAATTATTTTAATTACTTGCCCTTTACCTTTGCACTCATACTTTCAGCTTTTCATATTCGTCTCTAAACGTAAGTCACTATTAAAGTCGACTCGCCGAGACCAAGTTGAGGAGTGCATGCTGGGAATATTGATTTGGTCCTCAAATATGCTAACGTACACTGGAATATGTTCAGTAAATGTTGCTGGATTCTGCTGCTGGAGTTTCTGGTAGAACTACTATAATTATTTTTCTTGCTCTTGAGTATAAAATCGCGTATTTAATGTTTTAGATGTGTTTAACTTATCACTGAATCTCTATTGCGGTTGATTGAGAATCTCCTGACAGAACGTATATAAAGTTGTAATTTTCCTTCTTCTCTTAAATATATTACAATTTTCCTCACGGCAATGTCGAATTTCGATAATAATCAAACATACAATAATACCTAATCAGGTATCCAAAATAACGTGTACCGTACCATATATTGAACGCTAGAATTTGAAGTTAATTTTTTTCCGATTTCGCCCTCCTTTGCGCAGCATTTATCCCCGTGAACTTGGCGGCATTTCATAACCCACTTACACTTCCTTAATCACGCAGGTCGCTCGACGCAATTGCGCACACACGCGCGCTAATATTTCGCCCGCATGAGATTCACGTGCGTGTCTTGGTGGAGCGCCAAGATATGGAGTTGCTCGAGCTTTTATTCGACCACGCTCTCGTCATTCTTTTTTATTGACATAAATAAAGCTACGAATCTTTTTCTATGGCAAATTATGTTTGTATTTTTGTTTTTGTGCAAATTATGTTTTTTTTGTTTGTTTGGCTAGAGTAACTGTGTTACCCTTTACTGGTCTCTGTTGGTTTTTGAGGACATATAAACCTAGGGTCATTTTCCTCGTTACAGATTGAGGCCATCATACTGTCTCGATCGTTTGAATGTTGGCTGCCTGAATAACGCATGCACAGACTAAACAAGGCTAGAAAATATAAATTGGTGATAAAATTGATCATCGGCCTTACTAGTTGCTGGTAAAAGTTTGTCGTTATTGATAAATCGTCACTAAAGATGAAGATCGTAACCAAGAAAATATGCAAATAATGTTAGGAACGCATAAATATTGTGCGCAGTAACGGATATGAGTATTAGGTCCCGAGCTTGCCGACTTGCATTTTTAGCCTTGATGATACGAGCAAGCTTGGCTGTCAAATATTGATAGTCTCAGGACTGCTAGTCATTGTTACTAAGACATTACTTATTGCTGGTCATTTGCATCTCTGATGCGTGGGCTCAGGTCTTATATATATTGCGTATGTTCGATCCTGTCGTTATGATGAAGCATTCCACCGTGCTGCTTAGATCCCAACTTCAATAAGATGATTGCTACCTGTACTTATTAGGCCGACGTTTCAAATAACGCTTCAAAAAATTATTTGTATTGTATTACTGCTTAAAATTTTGAAACCAATTGTGCGTGAATCGGCAGTCGAAAAAGTTTATATATTAACGATTCGCAAGTCGCAACTAGTAACTATCCAAGCGCTTGATAATGTACATCATTTCCATTGATGGTACGAGGTTTTTACTTTCCATGCACGACGATTAATGTAATCTTGCTCGTATGCATAATGTCTCATTACAATAACTGTAATGTTATCATGGAAGTTTCAGCCCTACCTGTTAACAAAAAGTTCACTTCAAGAGATTTCTTTGAGATTAACATTTTTCGTTTTGGTTCTCACTGGTCATTGAAATGTGTATGGCTTCTTTGCAAATTGGGATATAAATTAGTATGAAATTTATACTGTAACATCGCTCTATATGTCCGTGCTTGATTATTGCGCGGTAATCTGCATCATCAATTCTACAAGTTTTTTATGTATGTTAAAGGGTTGTGTATCAGTGTGACTTTGTGTTCGGTCTTGTCTTACTACCTCACATTAATGTAACGCATAGAGAATTCAAGCTCACCATTTCTCTACCATAGGGTTTATTTGCAGCCGAGGGTTATAAAGGCTGATAAGACTGAACCTGCCTCATGCTTCATCGCCCGGCGTGGCGTGACATGGCGCTGTACATTTTGTCATGTTATTTCCTCCTCTTTGTTCTTAGTATGGCTGCTTTTATTTGGACTTATACTTAGAATAACCAGTATCGCCTAGAATTTTTGCTTCCTTTTGCTTTTTGTTAGCCAGCTTTGACATAAGCTTGGTCTGAAGAGACCTTGAAAGCGTCGTCGTTGCCGAGGCGATATGGCTGCCGCTGCATGTTTTCAAGCACTGCAAGCGTCAAGACGTCGCAAAGGCTGGCAAGCGTTCACAGCCCTCCAATAATACTCTTTAATCCAACAAGCAGATTCTTTTCTCGATTGATACCTTGATTACAATTGAATAGCTCATACATTTTATTAGGCCCAAGACTCCGTTTGGAGTGAAGAACAATTGATGGAATTAGGTCATCGGCGTACGAAATGAAGCCTTCGTTGTCATATCGAGACAAGAAAAGTAAAGGCAAGGACCTACATACTGAATTTATTTCATCGTTAGTTATATCGTTACAATTTCAAGTCTCGCGTCCCTGTTTATTTAAACTTATCAATCGTTAACGCCCTAAACTTGCCTTTACGTATGAGAACATCGTCAGGGAGTGTCGGTAGGCTCTCCAGTGCCTCGCACTCTTCGTGATGAATGGCCGTAGGAAACTCGAATTTGGTCATAATATAAGCTTAAAAAAATCACAAACGACGACAGTTACACCAAATTCAAGAAGTTAGCTAACAAACTTTCTTTTTTCGCTCTTTCCCTGAAGTCTACCTACTGTCACAAATGTTTCAAATTTTTTTTAGCTTCACTAACTATAATATCCTATCAAACAGATAGTGATTTCTAACTTGTACTCATTGTGCATGCGAGACATGATCTCCTTAAATGCTATCAGTGAACTGCGCCTTAACTGACGATCCGCATGAAGCGTTGTGATCTCTTTTTCTTGCATGCTTTCATTTCCAGCTCGAATGACGTCTGGAGCGTGAGACTGTATCAACAACTCTCATGTACTTCCTAGGCCTATTGTTACGTGTTCCTGTCAGTTCTTAAGAACTTCAAATCCACCCTGCTACTTAGACATATAAATGAAACTCTATTTCGCTGTAAAATTACGTTCAAAGTGAGGTTCGAAGTAAGAAAATTTATTATGGCTTAATTTCTTTACCTTTTTAAATTTTGACTGAGCGAGTCTCACTTTGAATGGCTGATTATTTAACGTTTTTCCAAAAGAAAACCTAAATTGCTTTAACGCAATCTTGCAAAAAAATTTGTATCTGGTATTTTCAGTTTATTTAAATTTACACTGATGATCCCATGTAACTAAAGTTTAAATACTACACTTTAGTTCTCGAATAATTCAACCAGACTTGGAAGTTTTCCTCGTATGTACTGCAACAATAACAAACCTCATTAATGAAGCTATTCGAACCCGATCGTGTTGAGTCTTAGATGAGATTGCATCTGTATGCCGGGGCTTTGATAGGCAGCTCGTAGAACCGAGTTAAATATCGCGCCTTATATTACGCTTGACTTGTTTACGTGGGAAATAATACTTTTTAGGGCGATTGGTGCTTCTTGCGGAACAAATTTTTTCGCTTCCTATTATTGTTCCGAATGAAATGCTGCCTTATTGAATGCATTCAAGTAGTCGAAGATTTGAATTTATATGTTTAGTTTCTCATTCATGTCACCCGTTGCGATGCGTCTGATGTTAACAAATAATAATAAAGTTATAATTAATGGCTCACACTGCCCAAATAGTGACACACTTCTGCCCGTGACCATGATAGGCGCTTTTGCCGAGGAAATTGGGTCTGGATGGCTCACATCAAGGGAAGATGTGCTTCGATATTTGGACAAAGTACCGCCCATTTCTCTAAGTGTAGTGCGTTCAAATGAGATGTATACAAATTATTAATAAACATGTTAATTATTTTTATAGACGACATGTCTGATATTATGCCGCCTGCATTATTACTTGAGTATAATTTCCGATAATTAATAGAATTCAGCTGTGGCTTCTTAAGTCTTAACTACAATTATTGCTGGGGTGATATGAGGACGACTGTACCGAAGAGACCTGTCAATTGAGCCAAAGCTCGAGTAACATGGTGAGATTGATGTCACAGCCAGCTGCAGGTAGCGAACACATAACTAATTGCTCTAATCTTGACGCTCAGAACATAAACCCTTCGGCCGTTCTATTAAGTAGTTTAAGTGGCGTAGCTTACGAATTATTTGTGTGCATCGGAATTCAATTTCTCCTTGTAATCATCATTTCGTCAATCACGAATGGGCCAGCCTCTGCCATAACGCCTCAGTTCACGGCAGAGGCGTCACGTTTAAAACCTCATATTAAATGCTATATTCTTCTTTTTGTTTGCCTCAAGTGTGGTGTGATAACGAACTACTATTAAATGATAATTTTCCCCTTCCATAAGCTTCCTAACTAAATTGTTCACTAGCTTTAGTCGTTATTAATGAGATCAATGTTAATATGATCATTGTTTGAAAATGAGATCAGGTTCTAAAATGTTACCTGTTTCATAGCCAAGCTATAGAAAAAGAGTAATACGAAATCTAAAGATGCAGCAGTCATTCACGAGTATGAGACTAAATTTTCCCACCATATTTTGCATCATTGACTTGCTTTTCCCGTCGATGAATAAATTTTATACAGTGTGGGCACTGATGGCAGCCTCTAATTTTGTTAGTTTTAAGATGAATCGTTCGTTGTCGCGGGCTTCAAGTGTCTCACTGTTAATTTAGAGGTGCACATGTGTAGAATTTCCCTCGAAGTCCCTTATGTGTAGGAATTCTCTCGTAGTCCCTTATGTGTAGGATTTCCCTCGAAATCCCTTATGTTTATGTGTAGGATTTCCCTCGAAATCCCTTATGTGTAGGCTTTCCCTCGAAATCCCCTACGTATAGGATTTCCCTCGAAGTCCCTTATGTGCAGGATTTCCCTCGAAGTCGGGTATTTTAAACGTGTCTGCGGTAGGGTATCGCGCCGGGCGTGGTGTCTGCATCGCTATTGATCGAGCCTTACTCCCTCCTCTTGTCTGCCCCTGCTCTGCCACCTGTCCCATGCTTTGCGGAAGTCGAAGACATCTTCGTTTCTATTGAAGATATAAAAATGTCCTCACTGCCTAATGTCCGCTGGCAACTAAACTTTTCTTCGCTGCAAGACCCTACAGGCTACACTTATTTTAGCGAAACATTAAAAGGGATTTTTTCACTTAGTTAAGACATGTTTGATCCATAAAGCTATAAAGATGTCGACAGTCTATACAAAATTTGACCGCTAACGTGAGGATTGTCGCGGTTAGTTTTGAATATCTCAATGATCTGCTCTCGCTACTGTTATAAAAAATTACACGTAAATTCATTCATATTATTTCCAACTATTTTATTACCATCGGAATGTACGTGCAAATATTGAAACAACGTTACCTTGAATAATTAATTTTTCTTCAATTCATCTTAATGAAAATACTTCGTCTGTCCACTGATATTATGATATATTGACCCATTCTTCCATTGCGGCTGTTGAAACCTCTAATTGATTATATAAATTTATGAATCGATTGTAGTCGTCTAGACTGCGAATCCTTTGCGTCCCAAATGAACCTATAGTTGACTCGAAGCCTGTTTACCGAAGCTTCATCAAATGACGACCATTAATTATGGTAAAATATGTTCAGCAATATGGAATGTGAACATCTCAGTTGAAATAAAAATTGAATATGAAATAGAAGAAGTAGAATAGAAGTTAGATATGCGTAGCATAATTCAATATTCTGAATCAATTTCGATGTACCTTAGAATGATGAAATACGATCAATGAAGCTGAATGTGATAGTTCAATGTTAACAATGCGGGCATGTGCCCATTTGATGCTCTTGTTTCGCGTGCCAACTGCCAATGTTGTGTTTAAGAGAGAAATGCACAAGGGGCCACGTTGAACTCAAAATTTGTTTCCATTTACGACCTCGTCCTAGCATCAACGTTGATAAATTTTCTATTCTTCTTGTATTGTTATACTTTTTGTATCCGAAATTTTTTGTTATTCAAAGCGGAAACTCGTTGTGCGTGCAATAATAATATTTTAGTTTTTCTTCACATTCAATCTCTTACGACTTCTGTTTCGAAATTCCAACGATACTTTGTATTAAATAATAATATCAAACTTTATATTAAATTTAGATATCTTATACATTTTATACCTTTATAATAGCAAATTTTCTGCGTTTGCCAGAAAATTGCCTATATTTTTTGCATCTTACACTTTCAATAGCTTCTTATTACTATGCACTATTCTAACTAGCACGAAATTTACTATGTAACAAGCATCCAAGTATCTCAAAATTTTTAGCGAGGTATTTCACTATAATTCGAGTACTTTTCTTGGTAATTTATACTGAATCACTCGATTTTCATCTCATTTTTTGACGTGGTTCCAAGCGTTTAGTGAATGTATTGTTTATTGCAGGCACTTTCCCGATCGACACGACGAAGACTCGCCTGCAGATCCAGGGCAGTCGCGTGGACGGTGAGGTGGTGGCCACGCGCTACCGTGGCATGCTGCACGCGCTCTTCAGGATCAGCAGTGAAGAGGGCATCAGAGCCTTATATCATGGGTAATTTGTTATACTATTGTATACCATGAGCACTTTGTTATATCATGGGTACTTCTTTATACTTTTAGCACTTTATTATACCATGAGTAGGTACTTAGTTATATCATGGGTACTTTGTTATATCATGGGTACTTTGTTATATCATGGGTACCTTGTTATATCATGGTACTTTATTAAATCATGGGTACTTTATTACGTACAGTGGGGGGAAATAAATATTCGTACACTTGAAAAATCGTATTTTAATGTATGTAAGTACACAAACTGAACAGGAGAAGTGATTTATATTATGTATAGAGGCGCATTGTATTCAAAAATAGCATCAATAGAAATTAAATCTCAATGCAACAAAAATGAATGCAACATGTTAACTTCTTATTTTTCACCCGAAAAGTGAACATGTTGCATTGTTTTTAGTTGCATTGAGATTTAATTTCTTTTGATAGTATTTTTGAATACTATGCGTCTCTATACATAATTTAAATCACGGCTCCTGTTAAGTTTGTGTACTTACATACATTAAAATACGATTTTTCAAGTGTACGAATATTTATTTCCCCCCACTGTATATCATGGGTACTTTTTTATATCTTGGTACTTTGTTATATCGTGGTACTTTATTATACCATGGGTACTTTATTATCCCATAGGTGCTTTATTAGGTATATCATGGCTACCTTATACCATGGCTACTTTAACATACGTTATGCCCGCTTTTAATTTATCTGTAGTGTGGCATGATGCGCACTCACACACGCCGCTCGTAATTGAATCTTAAAACCAGTTACGGTATGTGATTTACATTTGTTCATTTCATTCTAAATTGCTCTGCCGTTTGACTTGAAAAAACTTTTTAAGCTTTGTGTTTAATTTGACTTAGTTTATTTTATTAATTCAAGTAATGTATGTTGCAGTTAATTTAGGGTGTGACGAAGACATTTTAAATGATTTGCTTAAGCGTTTCAACGTTACAGAATCGCACCAGCTGTGTTACGACAAGCAACTTACGGTACCATCAAATTTGGCATTTACTACAGCCTCAAGAAAATGTTCTGCCCTCCTGAGAAGGAGAGCTTACCTCGCAACGTAGCTTGTGCTGTCACAGCAGGTCAGCTTTGCGACATGCTTGTCGATTATCTCAAGTATCTGTGTCTGTTGTAGCTCTTGAGATATTTACGTTAGAAGATTTTTTCGTGCTATCATATCTATGATGTATCTAATTACGAGATAAGTTATGTATCCAGTTACGTGGATTAAGGAACCTTTACGCGTGTAGACGCAGCCTAGCGCTCTTTTATTCACCCATTGCTGGATCAAATTGTCAATATTGTTTTAACCATTGTATTTTTGTAATTATGCACACGTCTTTTGATCGGGTATAGTTTGTTGCACTTTCTTTTCCATTGCTTCCTTAAGTTTTTTATCCGTAACTTCATTGAATATGAATTTTTTCGTATCATTTTCTTTATTATTTCTTTCAAGTGAAAGCTTCTCTTAATTCTTCCATTAATTTGTCTTCTTATAAATTCACATCACAATTTTCCATAAGTTTATTTAACTAGCTAATACTCTACCTCAACAATGAGAAGGCTTGCATGTGTCTTTTAAGTGGGCACTGAAAATTTGGTAATAAGTTTCTACTTCAAATTATTAGAAGTAATGATAACTTTTGTCTGTTCTTCAAAAACATTCGTTTAAGATGTGAGTGACCTGATCTTAATAAAATTACCAGGAGTGATCGGAAGCAGCATCGCTAATCCCACGGACGTCCTGAAAGTTCGTCTGCAGAGCGGCCGCGGCAAGACAGACCAGGGGCTCGTCGACGCCTTCCTCTCCATCTACAGAATGGAAGGCGTCCAGGGTCTCTGGAAGGTATTGTTACCTTAATGCTTAGGAGCGCCATTTGGACCAATCAGGAGTATTCGTGTCTACCTTATGAATGCTCCTGCATTACTATCCTGCACCTGTTTAGTTCTACTTCTTCATTACTATCCTGCACCTGTTTCGTTCTACTCCTGCATTACTATCCTGCACCTGTTTAGTTCTACTCCTGCATTACTATCCTGCACCTGTTTAGTTCTACTCCTGCATTACTATCCTGCACCTGTTTAGTTCTACTCCTGCATTACTATCCTGCACCTGTTTAGTTCTACTTCTTCATTACTATCCTGCACCTGTTTCGTTTTACTCCTGCATTACTATCCTGCACCTGTTTAGTTCTACTCCTGCATCACTATCCTGCACCTGTTTAGTTCTACTTCTTCATTACTATCCTGCACCTGTTTAGTTCTACTCCTGCATTACTATCCTGCACCTGTTTATTTCTACTCCTGCATTGCTATCCTGCACCTGTTTAGTTCTACTCCTGCATTACTATCCTCAGTATCCTGCACCTGTTTCGTTCTACTCCTGCATTACTATCCTCAGTATCCTGCACCTGTTTCGTTCTACTCCTGCAGGTGCTACCTATCCTGCACCTGTTTAGTTTTACTCCTGCATCAAAATCCTGCACCTCTTAAGTTCCACTCCTCACTTACCCCGCAGCTTCACATTGCTTGTAGCCAAATCATCACATGTGACTTGATGCCTCTCTTGCGTGCAGGGCGTTGGGCAGACGGCGCAGCGGGCTGGGGTGGTGGTGGGCGTGGAGCTTCCACTCTATGACATCTGCAAATATTATTTCCTGAAGTACGGACAGCCCAATTCTCCCTCCACCCACTTTATGTAAGAACAATTCACTCATTTTACTATTTAAACTTTTTTGTTAAAAAATTAATCAATGTTTTCTCGTCAGCAAAATTCTTGTTCTATGTTTAACATGGTTTGTAGCGTTTCATAATGCGGGATTTTTTTTATACTCAACATTGTACCTGTCGTTGCGTTAGCTTTTGGTTTTCATGATTTATTTGTAGACTGTTATGTATTTTGAGTGCTAAATTTTTTGATGAGGTCCTAAGAATGTCGCAATATGTTAACGATCTATAATGCATCAATTATTCAAAACTGTCATTTAACTTCACATGAATATCAGTGCAGGAGAGAGTTGCCACTTAATAATCTGCTTTTTCACGTTAGCTCAAGTAATACTAAGTCAATGTTCTGCTGTCGTTGAAAATCGGTCCACAGTGTAGTCGCACATTAATGTCAACCTCTCTACTAATGACGTGTCTTCCAGAGTTATTAAAGAAGCATCGAACTCAATTCAAATAGTAGGCTTTAAAGTTCATATGTGCGATCTGTGTTCCCTAATTTTTGAACGTTGTAATCGTGTCACTTGTACGAAGAAATAAGTCAACTCCATCAAAAGAATGAGTAGCTGATAATCAGAGCAATAGCGATAAAGTAGGTGTGATCCAAAGAATGATCCAAGTCGTTTCAGAGAGGTGTTCAATTGTTTTCAAAGTGAAAGAAGGAGGCTGATTGAAAAATTGCCTGCTCCATGTTTGAGCTAGCTATTCACAGTTCAGTCTATGTTAGTCAGAAGTCGACCTTTTTTCATTTAAAGTTAATCAAGTGTGCCCTGAATAACTTTTTGATAACATCATAGCCATTTATAATGGTTGGTCAAAGTGCGCACCGTTTAAAGTTTTGGGGGGTATGGGTTTTGTGGTTTCACGTGTATCCATTGCAGAAGGTGTTGACCGAACTAACGGGGCATTCAGTTGTCCCTGAGAGGCTCGAGATCTCCTCTTCTACAGCAGATGTTGCTGCTGAGGCCGTCAACTTCTGTGGTCATCTTCCACTGCAGTCTCACTTTGCTCCCTGCGCTGCTTCGCACCCTAGTGGCGCTGCCGTGCTGCTCTGCCTTGCCCCCATGCGCTGCTGCAGTCATGCCGTACTTTTCCTTTACTTAACCTTCTATTTTATCAAAGTATTTCTTCTCTCTTAAAGAAATTATTGTATTCAGCATGTTTCCCATCTCTCTCTGGTTAGACGGTATTTTGTTTATCCAAATCTGTGATTTCTGACGACGTACCGGTACCAATCTCTATGCGGCGTTTTTGTGCGACATTAGAGATATCCATTTCCTGGAATTAGCCATCTTTTGAAATTGTTCAACTCCGAAGTGGGGTTAGTGTTTGAACACCACTCGCAAAGTGGTGCATACCACGCCGTCAAACCATCAGCCAGTTTTCTCAGTATTCAAGCTAAAAATTATAATAATAACTTTTTCCTTCACTGCCACCCACAAGCATTTCTTCTACATCTTCAGTATCTGATTGATTGTCTGTTACATATATTCTCTATTCGCCGATGAAATGCTCTGTTTTTTGTTAATGCAATTAAATTTACCTACCTTCTAAAGCGTGACTCTGAGGCGCTCTTATTCCAATTTCATCTATTCCTTCAACGTACGCGAGACAAAAGTGCACTTCTCCTGATGATGGGCTAATTATTCCCGACATTTCTCAGACCCTTTACCGCCCGACTAATTAAAAGTTCAATTAGGCATGTTAGGTGAGTAATTATTATCAATTGACCACTTGATTGACTTGGGCAATAAAGGGTCCATGGCACTTGAGGGCAAGGCTGACCGGCACGGCGCTCCCCACACCGCAACCCGCTCATGACGCTTGTCAGTCATTCCTGAGTAAAGCGATTGTTTTATTTTCGTTTAGTTACCGAAGTAAGTATTAGAGTGCGGATGTAAGATTTTCACTCGGAACAAATTTTGTGCCGCAAGCTTATAAAAGTATACGAATTCTGTGAAGTCAACATCTAATGCAATAGATTTGTTTGTAAAGCTAAAGTTATGTGTTGAAGCGTCGTGAGCGAGTAGCGGTGGTGCGAAGCTATCTCCCTCATTGCTGCAAAGCGTTTACCGCTGCTGCTGCTGCTACCTTGCTAACGGCATCGGCTCCATACGTTGGTGACTCGACGTTGGGAGTCGCTGCTGCACCGCTGCAATGTAACGTTCATAACGTCAATTGTTGCCATTCATCTCTCACTCAACATCGCTATCCTTGCTCACAATTGTCAAATCATTTATCATATCAAAACCATCATTCTCGTCAAAATTTTCAGAGCAGTCTCGCCTCTTCCTTACTCATGATCGCTCATTTTCTCATCTTTCAACAGTCTTTGCTGGCCACAACACTACATTCCTACGCTTTCTTTGACATTTTTTGTAAATTTATTAGATTTTGCAACTTAAACATTCAAAGTGTTAATTCTCTATCTAGGCATTTTGATCATATGCATCATAGTTGAGATAAGAAGTATTGGTACATTTTCGAAGTTCAGCAAAATCTTATTGTTATCATTGCCCATTTGAAAATATTTAATTTTTCGTTCACATTTGTTGAGGCTTCGTTTTATAATGTTACTACAAAATATTTCGGTTTCAGTTTCCAAAGACACTATTCAATTATCTTGAATGAATTCACACCGATGCTTGATTTATTGTCTACAGCTTTATACGCAGTTATTTCATACAATATTTGCCTATCTTGATTTCACAACATTCTAATATATTTTACCAACGATTATTCTCCTTTCAAATTTCAACTGGTTCAAACCTAAGCCCCAAAATCCGTGTGAATTTATTCGCTCTCAACCTCCATCTAAATATCATGATCATCCATTTCATCACTCACGTCATTAAGTCCTAACTAGCTCCTAAGACTGTGTAGCAACTGTGGCTACTCTAACGTTGATTACTCGTTGATGTGTACTCAGTACGGGCAGAGCTTATAATGACAGGTGGCGTTCTTTTCGCAGGTCGAGTCTCATTGCCAGCCTGGGAGGTGCGATCGCCTCCACTCCCATCGACGTCATCAGGGTGAGGGTCTTATATTTTCAAGGGAAGCTCGTTTCAATTCCAGCTAGTCATGTTCTGTAAAGATATTTTTATTCTATTGCTTCTGAGAAAGACATAGACATGTTTTCTTCTTGCAAAAAGTTTTGATTAAAAGTAGATATATTTTTTTCTAGTTTCACTCCAGTACAAATGATGTAGATGAATCCGTGTTTTGATTACAATTACCTTTTGAATGGGATAATTTATCAGACAAATACTTTTCTGAATGCGCTCGTGTTTCTTTTTTTTTTTTCTTTTGATGCTTATTGATATTTTTGCGTTCAAGAGCTCGATGGAGTATTTTAATGTGTTCCCAAAATGCTGCAGTTTTCAACCAATTTTTCCGGGCAAAATCTTACCCGGCATCTATCTAGAAGTGATACTAGGGTGTGCAACGTACAGAAATTTATAACCACCTAACTGTTAGTAAGGTTTAATTGTCAGTTTATTCTACATTGTTTCAGACAAGATTGATGAATCAACGAAAGCTGAAGTACAGTGAGAACGCACCTGCGTTATTGCCCAACACATACTACAAAGGTTCAATGGACTGCCTTATGCAGGTATGTCATCGCAATCATAAATTTCATGTTATTATTATTATTCAATTGTAGCTCCTGATCTAAAAGGGAACACGTCCGATTTTTTTTCGATTATTTTGTGCGGGTGCTTCAAAATTGACCTAAAATTACTTAGGGCCATTCTGATTCGCCTCAAGTCTACAGTATCATTCAAGAATAATACCTAAGATTTTTAATGAAACTTCATGCATGTATTTATCTTATTTGCATCTGTATTTCTCTTTCAGACAGTTCGTCATGAAGGAGCCATGGCGCTTTATAAGGGTTTCATCCCCACATGGCTGAGGTTGGGACCATGGAATATTATTTTTTTCGTAACTTTTGAGCAACTTAAAAAAATCTACTAGTAACAATATTGTTATAGAACTTGTATGATGAATTAAATGCTCTTCGATATTATGGTCTCCATTTCTACTCTCGAGTCTCACATTAATGTTCTCCACTTTCTTGTATGTATGTTTGCTCAGATATCTCGTCACCATTCACGAGATATTATCTGTTATCTCAATACTGCTACGGTACTACGGGGGTATAAAGCTGGATTGAACCATGCTGCTAGATATGCGACTGATACCGTACATTTTTTCACCATGCAAGCATGGGAAATAAATGTGTAGATTGATTTGCAGTGCTAATTTTGCATATTAAAGAAGAAAATGAGTACTAAGGATTCTTAAAATTCTCTTTGAGAGGGGATAGAAGAGGCTTGAATAGAAATAAATATGTGATTAAATTGCAGTAATAATGATGTAAGTTAAAGACGAAAATGGGAACTAAGGATGTGCAAAATTCTGTTGAGATACGTAGGTCAGAAGAGACATACGTGTGTGATAACGAGTACTAAGTTTGTTATTTCTGCCTGCGTCGTAACGAGCCACTTCTGGCTGTTTACAAGCATCCGTCGTATCGTCGGTCGTAGCATTTTCTTGAACTACATGCCACGTCAGACAATATTCATAGTTGATCTGTGTCCACTTGCTCTTATGTACCTTGGCTGCTGAGTCAATCTGTTTCTCTGTACGTGTCTTAAGATACATTCTCTTGATGGCATCATGCGTGAGCTTGGAAATGATTTCTGGTCTATTGTTGCAGCTATAATGAATCATTTACAAGTAAATTTTTGCATTAACTACAAAATTGCCGGAAAGTCTGAATTTTTTTTAACGATTCTTTCAAACGACCAAATATCGATTTTGGGCTTCAACAAATAATGAAAAAAAAGGCTTCATTTCGGATATCTTCTCGTAAGGTGTTGAAAAATGTACGCTCTAGTTCTAGAACGTTTGGGAATCGGTTTTCAATGCTGGAATATTTTGTACATAAATGTTCAGTCGGTGTATCTTAGTTAATCTCGACAGGATCTATTGTATAAATGAGTGTCATTCTTTGGGCATACGTTTTAGTCTAATGAATGTTATGACTGTAGTAAGTTTATGGAGCCGTGCTCTATGTTCTATTGTTCAAGTATGGGTAATCTATATAATTAATTTATTCCCAATGTGCCCTGTTGTGCTATTACACTTCATCCAATGTATGGTAGCTCTCTTATCACATACAAATTTTATATCTGAACCCCAGATATCACCGCATTAAAGTGAATTTCGTAACTTTCTTGTGAAGTTCTACTGTCAGTATTGTAAAATATTGTTCAGTTATTCATTTTATTAATTTCATATTATTTAGATAGTTTCGTTGACTTAGCGTTAGCAATACAGGAAAATTGTCACTTGTTTTAAAAGACAACTGCCTTTGTATGCCACGTTGATACAAACATCTAGAACCTTGTAGGTTTCAGAAGATACCGAGGCTATAATCTTCTGTTAATATCTACTCTTATTTCGAGGAGATGGTCGGCAACCGATGCATCAATTCTACTGCAGTTAAAGGACATAAAACAGCGTTCGAATTAAATTCGACTATCTTAAACAGAAATTACACAGGCTCTGGTTAATTAGCAGATTTATCGTGAATTCAATTCTTTGCTATACTTGCAGGCTAGCAATATTTGTATCGTATGTTGGCATTGGAAGAAGTGTTGTCACAGAAACTGCCAATAAATATTTTTGTAAAACATGTATTACATCTCCTTCCATAAATTCGAAATTTGTCGCAAATGCAGCATAATATAATTGCGTTTCCACAATTCATAAAAACTGGGTTTCATCAAATTGACAGTTAGATCAATAATTTATTTCATTAACTAAACATATATACAAGTTTGAACGCAGCCACGGACTCTTGAGTTTTAGTGGGCCGTCTCTTTCTTAACAAACCTGATGCCACAGTAACTACAAGAATGATTACCAGGTTGGTCCTGAAAAGAAAAAAATGGATAAATTCATATGAAATCTCCCACCGTGCTGCTGCACACTTCCAATGTGCAATTTGACTTCATTTTGTTCCAAGTTTCATAAAGTGCCAATTATTTTATCATTCCAGACAACATGTAGTTTCTTTTATTATTATCTGAAGTTAAGGAATGGGATTTAATCTTACCAAGTTTATGTATATCTTGGGATGACCGAGAGCCTCCGACGGCCCTCCCTCACACACAGCCGTGCGTCCCTCAACCACCACGGGAGGCACAGCTTTGATCAGGTCGATGGACCATCGCGAGTTGACTTGCTTTGGGTTGTCAAGGAAACGAACATTCCGGTAGTCGTCTGGAGACCATGACTGACAAAGAAAGAGGAGATAACTATAAATCGAGTCACAATAAATGATAGAAGTACTACTTTTCATGCTCTGAATCGTTTTCCGTTAAGTTTTTTGTGACTCCTGAAAGCAACAACTAAAAAGATTTTAATAGTGAGAAATCAACTTTAAGCAGGGAAGCAAAAAGATTAAGCTTCCACTTTTTGTAAGTACAAAGAAAAGTGGTCTTCTTGTGTATCAACTCATAATGATCAGGATCACTGCCAGAGTAATTTATTTTTACCTCTATGCTGTGGCATTGAGTTAATCCTCAACCCTTCTCTCTCTGAGATATGGCACCCTTTGTACTGACTATATTAATGTATTGGATCAAATTTTTTGGAACTTAACTAAATACAAACCAATCATCTTCTACTTTCACAGCCTTAACTCAAAAAAGTATTTATATTTTCAGAGCAAACTATCTTCAGTATATTTTAATAATGTTGATTGAAGTTAATTTAAAAAATGATTAGAATCAAGTCAAAATGCTCAACATAAAGCAGAGTTTGCTTTTTATGTTGCCCAGATCACATTTTTATGCAAAATTGTTGCAGTATCATTAAGTATTGTTGCCAGAACCACCTTACCCTTCAAGATTTATTGCAAAAATATTCATGAAGAGGTATTTAAAGATTTAATTGAGTTTTAAAGATCTTTTGTGACATCTTTTTACAGGCCTGTAACAATAATTTTGAAATATCTGCTTCTTTACAGCACTGTGGCATGTATACTTGTGTGAATATGGATTTCCTATATAATAAACAAACTCTATAGGTAAATAATAAATAAATAAACTGCATTTTAGCCATTTCAATTTTATTGACGGGCTGCAGGCACATTCTGCAGTTCTGTTTAGGACTATTCCTGACTCAATACGTTTTAAAATCACATCGTATAAAAGTTATACATAATAGGTATAAGTCCTAACAGACTTATAGTCAGCCTAACATAACTGTAGAAAAATCCCATAGCATACGGCTAAGAGACAGAAATTATCATGGCGATGAAAGATTTAAATAATTACAACAAATTATGCAATGGTTCCTAATTATGCCAATGGTTCCTAACAGAGTAACAATTATATGCAAACCACTACGATATGCAACTTATGTAAATAATTAATCTAATAATGAATTCCATCAACTTAGAACTGTACATCGCTGTAAAGGTTTCAGGTTATTGCAACCTCCTAAACCCAACTTAAAATCTTTTGCAACTAAGCAGTATAGTCAAATGGGGTAAGACAGGATCGCAGCCTTCATGGGGTAAGAAAGGACCAGCCCATGGCACGCACTCTAATTGCACTGAATTTAATTTGACAAAAGAATATGTTAGAGCAATCACTGCCTGTCATTTAAGTGTTTGTTTCAACCCTCTTCTGCAAATTATGAATTTCTGGCTAATTTTTAAAGAAAATCTATGTAAAGAAGGGTAACAAAATAGTTAACCCTATTTGGGAAATAAGCTCTGTCTAATGACAAAAAAATTTTTGACCAGGTTTGCGGATGTAGGCAGGTAACTTAAGTAATAAGCAACTTTTTAGACATACTAGGCATTCCTACCTGCTACCATCACTGCCTGACATATATGTATCATTAATCTTATGTCATTAATGCCGGTCTCCAAGACAGTTACTAGTCTACTTATAGGACTCAAAAATTAACTTGAGGAAGAGCAACAAAAATGTTCTCATTTGCCACTATGAGTGGAAGACAGTTTACTACAGGAGGAACCTACAAAGTTATCAGCCTTTGCAAGCCTTTTGGATTTGGTATAGTATCAAAAGTGAAGTGAATAGAAATTTGGACATAATTCTGCTTGTCCTGTTCTCCCAGCAACCATTTTATGCCAATGAAGATCTTGTAGATGAAGATGGCAATTTCAACTTCATGAAAAATGTTCAGTTACTGTTGGACGCCAATTCTATCTCAAGGTGGCTGACTTGGTGTTGTTCCAAATGCCTTTTTAATGACCATCTGCCTATTAAATTTAGGCGCACTGGCCGAAATTGGAGCGCACGCCCTGGAAAAGGAGCAGATGCCCTAGCCGAGTGTACTACAGTGCTTCATCACCAAAATCACTGTCATTTCCTCCACATTTATATACCAGTCTTGGAGTGCCTTTCAATTACCCAGTGCAGGTAAGTGACTGACCAGATCCTGGAATTCCACCATAGTAGCTGATGAAGATCCTCAATAGAGGCCAATATCTTGAGCTAAATGCTAAATTTCCTACTTTACAGCCTGACATTGACAGCTGGCAATCAGGCAACACAAGTGCTGTGGTAACATTGGCAACATTATTAGTAGAGTCAGAGCCTAATAGAGGTGCATTTCCAGCCAATTTGAAATATCAGACAAGCATGGTACCATTCCATAGAAAATATAAAATAACATGAGATTTTGATAAATTGGAGCGCTATATCATTATCTAAAGTGCCAGATGTCACTACACCCTCCCCCACCAATTCCAGACAATCACTGTGATCTGCAGTTGGTCCTCTGAGCAGAGAGAATCCTGTTGACAAAGAAACACAAAACCAAAGAACTGTATTAACTGCACATCTTCATGCCCAGCCCTAATTGGTAAAAATTTGAAAAAGTCTGCAAAATGAGATCTTGAGATGGCTAGACTTGAGCTGTCTGAGCTAAAAGAGACCAAGCGCACCCACGCGTTACAAAGGAGCTACAGCTTGTAAAGCAAAAAATTATCAATTGATTTCCTATGAACTTAATTCAGAAGAAATTACACTGAACTGTATTAATTGCACTATTTGAGAAATAAACAGTATAACTTAGTTTCCTTAGTATTTGTTTCAGACGTAGCAGTCCCAGGCCATGATGGATTGCCACCTCTGATTATTGCTGATCCGCCCTCATTTGGGCCAACTGATGCACAATGCTGTTGCTTCTGTAGCGACCATGTTCATATATTTCCTCCAGTTACCCCCGCAACTCATTTCCTAGGAACGTTGCTAGCCTAGTGAATTCTAGCAGAGTTACCCATCAGCGCTAGCTCAATTTTATTATTCATGTCATTGCCTTAGACATCACAATTAGTTATCAACTGCAATTGGAATACTGTTAAATATGAATTAGCTATTTATTTATATTATTAGCACTGACCTAAGACATTGCAATATTAAGTAAATCTTGTAGTCATAACCATTTACAAATCTGTAATACAGCGCGTAACCTGGTCTCCAGACCTAGTTCCAGTAAATGAGGAAAACTCCTACTGTGTTCCATTTCCCAATACAAAACACAATTGTAAGACGCTAGCGCAGTCTGGTCTCTGACTTACACGCCTTAGCCGAACCAAAGGGCGTTTGGTACAACCAAACGTTTGGCACGAGTCACAGACCTTAAGGGACTCACTACCGCGCTGCTAGCATTCCCACGTCTTACAACTGGTGACCCCGAGCTCAAGAGAGGCTCCACCATCTACAACAGGTGACCCCCCGCTCTCTCGAAAGAGTTCACCCCACTACTCGCTCCACTCCGCACGGGGGCAACGATCACTTCACCGCGTGAACGGAAGCTGCCTCCCACACGGAGTCCGCCAGTCATGCAAACTTCCTTTTCGCCACTGGTAGTGGTGCAGCCCATGCAGGGGCGGTTGATCTGGGATTGTGCCCAGGAACACATCCAGTCATCACTTGAAGGTCTCCAGGGTGAACTTCCCTTCTCTTAGATCCTTTGGAGTTATTATCACTCTGCTCATCTACATGTGTGAAATCAATGATATGAAATCTGAAAATGCAATGAATATTTAACAGGAAGAAAGTTGAGATGCATGCCTTCAGCAACCAGATGAGCTAGTAGCAGTCGGCAGCCAGCGCTAGAAGGAGTCCAACAGTGCATTACTGTTTGTAGTCTGACAGCAAGCTCCCAGCTCCTGTGTATTTGCTTGAGATATACATTTGATTGTGGGCATTGTGCATGTTTTTATTGTGATATTGTTGACATTCTTTTGCACTGGCCTCATGAACCACAAAGCTTGAAAGAGAAACAAAGAACAGAACTCAAGAAGGAGCTGGAAAGATAATTGGGCAACCAATGAAAGTAAGTCTTTATCATTTTATCATTCATTGATGGCATTTTGTAACTGATGGAACTAATTTTAAAATTTCACAGTTCAATTTTTTATGTTTATAATTCAATAAATTTATGAACTCCACTGATTTCTAGGTGGAGTTGCGATGGGCCTACGGGGTCGGATTGTCCATTCTGAGACAGGAATGGAAGTGCGCCAGATTTTGACCAGTGCAAGATGTCGTGCGACAGATTTAAATCGCTGCAAGTCGCCACTTGCTGGAGGGCATGACCAAGAGGCAGACTTTCAAAGTTCAAACTTCAAAGTACCTCCATTCCTAGAATTCCACTATGCAGACAAAATTTACTACTATTACAGGCAAAAAGTATTGTTCTACAGGTAGTAAATGAAAATCACAGATGATAATAAGCCATTTTTCTAATTTTGTACTAAAGAATTTGGGAAAAGGCCAATGAAATTTGTGAAATAGGTCAAATTCACATTTCAGATATTTTTATCCAATATTATGAACATATCATTATATGGATGGTTTCTGCCTAATTTTCTGGTAAGGATTTCTGGGAGACTGGGAGTCTGGGACCATGCCAATCCAATTGTCAAATCCATGGCAATAATAATTATTATGGCATGTATACATAGTGACAAACCATGGGCATGGATTTTTTAGAATCATTTCATTTTTAATTTCCTCATTTACTCACAATTTAAACCAATTTCTTATGTATGATAATGCAGCATGCAGGTATCCAAGATACTTTACTGGTCTACACTAAGACTCAAAAATGAACTTGAGGGAGAGTCTAAAAAACTCTCTGCTTTGTCACTATGTTAAATAATACAATTAAAAAAAAAACTTTTACAACATTCTAACACACTACTTTGTATTCAAGTTTATGATTTTGAAATATTCACAAATTTAGCAAAATAAGCCTAAATCTTAAATGTAAATAAACCCAACCTCAATTTCCTTGTCAAGTTGGAATATTAAGTTTACCTTACCTGACCAGTATGGGTCACCAGGTCTTGCCCTTCAGCTCTTTGAGATGTCAAGCAACGAAATCCGAGCACTTGAGAAGGTTGAAAACCAAGCGATTTCGATCGGGTAAGGTGGGCAAGTTGCACACGCAAACTAACTGATCGACACGCCATGGTGCTGCCACGATTACTGACCTCGTACGGCGAGCTCTACACTATACCGTAAGAATGTAAGTAAAGGTAAACAGAGTAGACCTCAGTACAAAAAAAAACGTAAAATTTCAAAGTTAACCTAAAAGAGTGATGGCTGCTTGCACTCTTGAGGTAGAAACCTCCGTTTTTTGTTTATAATCAGTTGTATTATATATTCAAACTGTATTCAGCAAAAATTACTTTTCCACGTAAAAATATAAATCTAAAAAATATGTAAATTTATCGCAATTATTAGTTTCGCAAATTTACCGAGTCGACACTTCTCCAAACTCGCATGCGAACTCACCAAAAAAAACTGTCTGCTTAGTTAGTCTGTAGTTTGATTTTCAGTCTCTGTGCTCCAATCGAGTCGACCTCACATTTTTCTGATACAAATATTGATCCTACGCAGTTCATTTACACAATTAAAAATTTTAATGTGAAAATAAGAATAAACATGCCACACATATGATACTGGTCACTGCAAATTTTGATCCTGTGAAAAACTACAGCGAGAGATTAGCTAGTCAAACTGGCCCACGAGCACGGCGAACTTATATGATAATTATTGTATGGGTTCAGTCGAACAATTAACCAAGATAAAGAAGGCAGCGGGACCGACACTGTGCACTGGCGGGAGCTGACACCATATCCTGGTGAGGGCTGAAACTGGGCCAATATATTTGTTACTTGACGATTTCGTTGCAGTAGGCACTCTGGCTAGTTCACCCGCTTTGTTAGCTTCCAGGCGATTAGCCCATCATTTGGTACATGACGCAGCTCAGACGAGAAGAACGCAGAGCAAGGGACTTGAACTGCAGAACGAACGTCTTTGGAGTAAGGAAGGCGAATGTGCGTCTGATGATCCTCACGATATTGTTTGCCTTTCCAGCTGATCGAGCTACATGACACTTGAAAGTTGGATTTCTATCAACTACTACTCCTACGTCCTTCTCTGATTCGCTCTCCTTCAACGGAGAGACATACTCATTGCCCAGAGCATCCCTACCATTCGTGGTGAACTGGGTGCTGTTGCTTGGGTTTCCCAAAAGCGAGGCACTACATTTTTGATGAAAACGCAGCTGCCTGGCCTGGCCGTTGATCACTTGAATAGACTGCCCAGGTTCTAATTTCCCTTCAGCACCTCCCAAGCAACTACGTTGTCACTGCAAGCGAAGACCTTGGTATCGTCAGCAAATAGCTTCACATGGCTCCGAAAAAGGCTTGGAAAGTTTTTGATATACAGAATGAAGCATACGGGACCGAGAACGCTCCCTGAGGCATACCGATCACCACATCAGCAAGACTTGGGTCCACCTCGTTAACAATAATGTGTTGCATTCTGCTATATTGGAAATTCTTGAACCATCTTGCGCTCTCCCCACGATTCCATGGTCTTCAATCTTTGCCACGAAACGTCTTTGTGAACGCTGTCGCATGATTTCATGTAGTAGGCACCTATACAACCCCCATCATCTAAAGCCTCTGTCCATACGTCTAGTATCGCAAGCAGTTGGGCGACGCACGAACGCCTTTTTTTTAATCCATGCGCTTTCTGCTGATGAGGTTATCTATCTCTATCAAAATATCTTTACCAGTAGGTGTGGAGTGATCTGCTCTCTCATAACATCCGTGCATTAGCAGAGGACACGTAATCTTTTTGTCAATAATTTTGTGTTCTAATTGTGGATGAGCTAAATGTCAATAAAAATTAACACAAACATAAAATTTATAAAGTTGTAATCAGACTGAGGATGAATGTATTTCAATCAGGTGCTGAATTATCTAAACTGTTTTGGCATTACTATAAGGTCAGAAGATTTTGTGCTGTGAATCGATAATGAAACTAAGAAAAGTGACTAAAGTCATACCTTGGCTGAAGCGGTAAAAAGCCACACGAGTCGGGTAAAAAATGTGCGAGTATCAGCACGTGGCTAGCACAAGCTCAAAATACGCAAATTAATAATTCAGAACTATTCTGCATCAACCAAGATACACTTTTTACACCTCGGCGTTGAATCCTAGTCATGAGATTCACGGTCGTTCAACATCATTACATTAGCTTAACCATTAGAAACAACGTTATGGGTCTGGAAGCTTGGCTGAAAAATTCATTCATATTAGGCAGTGAAACAGAGCCAATAATTTAAATACTTAACAACATTGTCAGATACAGGCTTTAATTGTCTTTGTTAAGTAGTTGCCAACCATAGGCTCACTTGAGTCAGATGCATGGCACGCAGCATTTCAAACAACTTACATCGCTAACCGCATGGCAAGAATATAATAGTCCGAACGAACAAACAATACTTCTAAGTACGACAGCCAGAGCATACACGACATCTTAAAAAGGATAAGAGATAGCCACAGCCACATTGAATGCTCGACAAAACATAATTAAACTTGTTTCTGTAAAAGCCATGAGGCTGACGTGATGTTTTGAGCACATTGACCGATACGTGTGGTCTACAAAATTCTGTTTAAAATTTTTAGGCCTAAATTATTGAAATAAGTTGTTTGAAATTAACTTCGCTAAGCAACAAGACAACTGTTGGCATATTTGAATGACCAGCTAAGCGACTGAGACGAGTACATTGTGGACAGTATTTCAAGTGAAAACATTATCTGATCATCATTATTAAGAAAATATAAGAAGATATAATTATCTAACTATAATACAAATTTACTAGCTTGAGTATTAAATAATTAATTAATTAAAATTAATCATTAAAATTCCTGCGAATCATTAAAGATAGCCGCTGACACGCTTACAAAGGATTATTCCTAAATGAAAGATAATAGGATGCAACCACATAAGAATGAATAATTCCAACCTAATAAGGCACACGGCATTAGACGAGCTGTAGATCTGGCAAGCATGAGAACACAAGGTCACTAGGAACAAGTCAACCAAAATAAAAATGTTATCGCAACGTAAGTATTAGACTAGAATAGGTATCAAATTTCACTCCAGCATTATGGCGCAGGCAAGAATAAATTACTAAACGACCAAGGCAATGATAAAACGAACTAATCATGGGTTCGTTTGTTCAGGCCTCATTTCAGATCATTGCAGACTGTAAAATAATTAGATACTTCAGATCTTCAACTTCACCTGAATATAATTTTAGTTACCGGTCGTTAGACGAGATTAACAATAGTTCATGTATAGTAGGTATATCCGTAGACAACGATTGCGTTATCAAAGACCATGATATACTAGGAACAATCTCAGTGGCACAATGGGAAAATGGGAACTGAATAAAAATACGGAAGAGCATAATGGTATTCTAATGTTTGGAACAAATTACCCCTCATCCAAAGTTGTAGCGAGCTGCTACCATTCAAAATGATCTGGATTAAAGTATGAATAAAGATATGTTACGAACCCAACGATACTAGTTTGCAATGCGCATGCGACCCGATACATTGAACACGTCAATAAGTGCACTGAATTCATTTATTGAGCGACAAATAATTTAGAAGTTGTTGAGAATGGATATCACAATACGTCTCCACAGGCTGATTGCGTACCAATAGATATATTAACCGTTCATACAAGAGATTAAACTCCTTAACTAATTGAAGATCGCACATAAGTAAAGAATTTTTCATTATATTATTTTGGGAGGCGGGAGAATCTGAATTGAACACCGAAAGTTAATTTTAAATCTATTAAATATTTTCTATTTCTGCTTATTTAGCAATTTTTTATGCTGCATCAAGTAATGTCGGTAGTCGGACACTAAGTTAAGCCAATGGAAATCCAGAAAATTGAACTCCTTATCTTTAAATGATCTGGTCATGGCACGGTCAACAAGAACAAGCTAAAATAATAAGAACCTAATAACCTATCATAAATCGCATACAAAACTTGCTAAAGACGCAGCTAATCATCGAGCACAGAGTCTAACCAATCTTCAAGTTCTTTAGTGTCTTCTTTTGTTGTCACAAGCGCCGTCGATGTTGGGACGATTGGAGCGTCCAGGTCGAGTACAGGCTCAGCGCAGGAATCCACAACGATCACATCTTTAGCACAAAAACCGTTCTCGTCTTCTAACTTCTTGTCAGCTATCGAATTAGGAGAGTGCGATCTTGTCGTTTTAGGTACACCAAAGTTGAAAGCCTGTAGGCCAGCTGAGAAGTCCAATTTAATAGTTGAGGAAGAAGCCTCACTATCATTTGATTTACTCGTTGAATTTTCATCCACTAAACTCTGAATTCGGGGATTTTTGATAGATTTATGCACTTTGCTTGAAGCAGCTGTCACAGAATTCTGCGCGATAATTTTGTTAGCATCCTTAAATTCGTTAAGTTCCTCAAACGACGTCCGATTGATCTCAGTCACAGAGTCTTCACTTTGAGCAACAAATTCATGGAAATCGTCATCATCTGGAACGTCTTTGATGTCGAATCCAAAAGCTTGGCACATTTGTGCAGTGAGATCAACTTTAGAATCACTTGCGCTTCTTTCTCTGACATCTTCATTGAAGTCCTTGGAGAAATCAAAATTAGTAGATAACTCAGAATCTATTGCTGCTCCATCCATGAATTTTTCTGATGGCCTTGCTTGATGCTCTGCTAATTTCTCTATCTCTACACTTAGCTGATTATCTCTCGCGTTTTTGTTTACCGCTACATATTTTTTGTCATGATTTTCATCAAAAAAGGTGAGGCGCAGCTTCTGGATTTGTTCCTCAACAAAATCAGCATCTTCAACATAGTTGCTAGGAGAATGTGGGTTGAATACTCGTCGATTATCATCAGCTATCTTCGTATAGAAGTCAGTAAGTTGCTCCTTGTACAAAGAAGAAGTAGATGAATGCCAAAGTAATGGCTACTAATAAACACGTGCTGCTAATAAAAGGTACTTTTTTGATAGCAACAAAGAACCTAGTAAGTAAGCAATTTCAAGCATGGGGGTTAAAAGGGGGTGATCAAACTTTCGTATGTGTACAGTTAGCTAAATATTGTGAATTAAAAAATTATATGCAATATAAAAAAAATCGTTCAACAAACATTTCTGTGTGAAGAATTAGCCAAATAACATGCAGCACCACGCATGTGTGGCAAGTTACTAAATATATTTTGCCGAGATTACATAGCAGTCAAATGAATGGACCATAACAACTCCATCATGCTTTCCCCAGCTCAGCCAGATATATAATTAGCAGGAAAAGCTTGAACAACTTACCGGGACAGTGTTAAGGTCCAGACCGAGCTGGAGAGTAAGCGGTATGGTGCTTAATGAATTCGCGAGGTCCGTCACTCTGAGGGCACCAAGGCCTGGTAGACTGCGGTCCAGCTCCCCTGCTGCCACATCCCAGCCCTCCTCTCCTCGCAGCCGCAGGTGGCCTCCTCCACCGCTACCCAGGCCTGAACAGGCAAATATGTCAGCACCGAAAAATATATATCTATGTGTATCAGTTAACACGGATATTTAATTTCACAAGATATGATGCAATTGAATCAGCGACTTTAAACCGTTTTTCAATTGAATATCAAGCAACCAAGTAATTTGAGGCCCTCTACAGCATCAACGTAGTAATGGGCATCAGCATGTACTACCACGAATACCAAATATTAACAGCTTATAACTGATGTTGGTTAAATTTATTTCATGCAAGGTGCTGATAATTAGAGTGCCCAATTAGTGGACTATTTGGATTTTCAGGTTTTTCATTTTTAGGTGGGCCATTGAGGAGCAGTGAATGCTATTTGACAATAGTTTCACATTGTTATTAAATAATTTCAAAGAACAGAAAATACACAGAAAAAAGAAAATATCCAGACAAGTTGCCAGATAATTTTCAGCTTGTAACTCTGGATACCAGCTTCATCATACATTAAAAAAATCAACTATACAAGTATTAATCATGAAGCTCGTCCCTTATATGTTTTCAATGAGAATATATTGCAGTGAATTTTCTTAATCCTTTTCTGATAAACTCTTTGTTAGTTTCCTATTTGAATAAGCAGAATTTATACCTAGCCATTTTATCTTTGCTATTTAGCTATCAGGTGATATAGAACTTGTTATCAAACTGTCTCAAGTTAGGAAGTCAAAATTTAAATATTGTTAAAACCCCAAATTTGTTAAAAATCATTCATACCACGCACATGTTTGCATAACACCTGGAGGGTCCTCATGTACCACAGGTTGGTAACCACTAAAACAATATCCTTTGCATCTGTGTATCTTTTTGTAGAAATGGTCACTCTACTACAACTTAAGTTTATTCCTGATTCATACTATTATATATACGGTACCTCAATATATACAAGCTGACTAGAATATACACCCTTGGTAAAGAATAAAAACTTTTCGACCTTGATGAAAAGTTGCATAGGTACTAAATTTTTCACTCCAATTACCCTCTCAATGTATCATATCATATACACGGTAAACTGCTAACCTAGTAACTATACTTCCATTAAAATTTGTTCATCATAATTTATGTACTTAAAACTCGAGATATAACAAGAAATCCTGCACGATAAATTCAATACAAGTGCAGTTACATCAAAACCCAGGTAGTCAAGAGTATGAAGCACCTGTGAAAGACATATTCAGATGGTAAAAAAAAATTTTTACTAAAGTTCTCCAGCTAGTATAATAGATTATGACTGAGCTCCTGCATTTAACTTTGTTTCTTCAGTTATATACTTTTAGTGTATAAAGAAAACGAGAGGATTAAGGCTTCTAACCATTGTCAAAGTGGGGACAGCAAGACTAATCAAGTCACATTGACTGCAGTCTGAAAATAAGAAAAACTTACTCTGATTAGCAAGCACATCACTAAAGTCTTCCCCAATGAGGTAGTCAGTGCCATCATCCAGATCCTGGTCCCAGGATGGCGGTTGATCATAACGACTCCAGTTGCTGACAATGCCTCGTCTTTTGTACTTGCGCGGCGCCTCGTCCAGCTCATCAGCAAGGGAAGTTTCCACTGAGTCATCATCCTTGTGTGATTTACTCTCCATGATTGTTACTGCAGGTTTTTAGCAAAATTATTTTCAACAAGTCTTACTGTGTTCTGTTACTAAGTTCTGTTCTGTTACTGAGTATCTGTATTTCCACTCATTTCTCAAGTATATTGTTTTATTCTCAATTATTTCTAAAAGCTGCAGTTATAAAATAACATCAATAATTATTGTAACAATAAATAAAAATATATGAATCAATGGCTAGAGGAATACTTAAAATCAGTAAATAAAAAATTATACGTGGCAATATTTTAGTAATTATTAGCAGCTAAGTGTGCAACAAACCTGGTTCATAGTACTGAGCTTCATCAACAGTGGCCACACCTCTGCGAGCGGACTTTCCCCGACCACCTCTACTGGTGCCCCGACCAGAACCTCTATAACTATCTCCAACAGAGGCCTTGTCTGTTGCCACATTATTCTTGGAAGCATGAGCAGTGCCTTTAGCAGTTGTTGGTTGAGTCGTATCAATGACATTCTGTTCAACAGCTTCCTTACTTTCAGATGGAGTTGGTGTTGCTGCAAGAGCAGCACCTGTAAAGTGAAAAATAAATTATCTCAAACAAACTAGAGACCATGAGAATTTTTTGGTCAATTTATACTTCCTAGTAGAAAAAATGCTCCAAGCCTCCAACTATATAGATTATGAGATGACAATGGTGGTAAATAAATGAATTCCAGAAATCAATTATAAACAAACTGAACTATTTCTGACATTTTGTTGAGCTTAACCAGCATTGTAAAATTACAGTTAAATAACCATTAGTCCACTTGGTAAAAGGAAACAAATACTGTACGGTTTAAAAAAATGACAAATCACAGAGAGAAAAACATGATTAGCTTGCAAATGTTCCTTAACAAGAAAGATTACTATTTTCACAACAAACTTAGTATCTACACCCAATTCCAGCAAAAATCTACACCCAACTCCTTATTCAATCAATCAATCTAGACCTAACATTTATGAGGTTAACACAATGACATCTATTAGCAATTAATTTCCAATACAGTGAATAATTTCGGAGAAGTAATAAATAAACAGGTACATAGACATATTAGATGACCAAAAAGATTGATAAATTGAATTTCACTTGATATTTTAGCTGATAGCTTAATATTTTAGCTGGATAGCTGATATTATTGAAACAAGTTAATTAATCAGCTTAATTTATATTTAATGTTGGAACCATAATTCATAAAATTACCCTCTGGTTTATATTATATAAATAAGTGAAATATCTTATCAATGAGAATGCTTGACTAATGGATTGAACATCAATAATATTGACTGTGTAGTTTCTGATGAACAACTGGAATTGGGTTAGCCAGTTCAAAAAATTGTTATGACAAAAATCTTTGCCACTTGAAATGACTCATAAATTTTCTTTAAAGGTTGCATTGTACATATGTCACTAACTGAAGTAATTTACCTCCTTCTTCATGCCGAACTCTTTGCTGCCGTTTCCGTCGTTCACCAGTCATAATTGTGGTAGAAATTAAAAAAGTTAAGCTAAGATGCTCACTAGCAAAACTACATATAATTCACAGTCTACTACTCCACAATTAGAGTCCACACTGCACTGGAATGGGATCCACCATGATAAAACCTAAGTCACAAGGTTCTGTAAACAATTTCACCCTTGCCAAACTTTCTTTTCATCTCAGTTCTAGGAGGGTCTTGGAGACTAGTCTAATGTTGCCCCATGACAGGATAGTATGCCATTTACTATTTTTGTACAACTGTAGGCCAATAGGAAGGAAAATTATTTACAAGGAAATGTGTGTTTCACATTGATATTGCACATGTGAATTTACTAATATAAAATTCTGTTTTATCACAAGGTTGTTTCTACAAGCATGCCCAACATGCCCAACACCAACACATAATTTACTCAAGGTCTGGCTTGAGCAGCATTCAAGGATGCTGCTTGAGCAGCATCCAGCTTAGTCTGAGGACTGAGGTCAAGCTTTCTCACTTAGTTGGTAAAGTAAGTGATACTGAACATCTGCAGAGAAAAAAACTGTAAACTAAAAAAAACTGTAAACAAAAGGTGCAAACTCTTAAACACAAAAACTGCTACCAAAAAGACAATGGAGAATGAGTTTCCTCACTTTGCAGTGGGTATTTATAACAATGCTGATGGAAAAAATGATAATATGAGCAGTGTTAGCATCCCAAAGTTTTTGGTATGCAAGTTCAATTCAAGCCGGCCAGAATGGTTGCCAATTCTTTGAGCAATCTGGGATGGAAGCCATCTGGTCCACGTGACTTTTACTTGTTGGGATTTAGAGCTACAAGGCAGTAGGCGCTTGAGAACCTCTTCTTTGTGTATTTCAAAACCTTTTAACTTCGAGCCAACTGGGCACTCCTAAATATCTGGAATACTGCTCAGTGTTCAAGTCCTCATCTGTGAAGTGTGAACACACTGCTGAAGAACTAATTAAAAACGTTAGCCTTGCCCTCCTCGCCTCATGATGATGCCTCATCAGAGGAAATCTTTTGTTGGTCTACTTTCAAATAAGATATATAGTCAAATGGGGTAAGACAGGATCACAGCCTTTATGTGGTAAGAAAGGACCAGCCCATGGTGTGCATTCTAATTGCACTGAATTCAATTTGACAAAAGAATATGTTAGAACAGTCATTGCCTGTCATTTCAGTGTTTGTGGCAACCCTCTTTTGCAAATTATGAATTTCTGGCTAATTTTTAAAGAAAACCTATGTAAAGCAGGGTCGCAAAATAGTTAACCCTGTTTGGGAAATAAGCTCAGTCTAATGACAAAAAATTTTTTGGCCATGTGTGTGGATGTAGGCAGGTTTTAACTTTTTAGACATACTAGGCATTCCTACCTGCTACCATCACTGCCTGACACGTATTCTAAAATGGGGTAAAAAAGGACCGGACATGGGGTAAGATGGGAGCACGGGACCACTAAATTATCCTGTTTTACCACACAAGCAGTCCTATCTCACCCCACAAACGGTCCTGTCTTACCTTACAAATGGTCCTCTAATACCCTACAGTTTATCAAAAATAGTTTTTAAATGAATATATTATTGTGTAGTACATGGAGTATTTTGGTTAAAATTTATATCTTTTGCTCAAACTTCATTATAACTTCTTAGCTTTTTTAATTAGAGAAATTTAGCACACTATTTTGAGTTGCATCAAAGGGATATAGAAAATAGGTATGTCTATTCCCATTTGTGAGCTGCTGTCCTGCTGAACTATGTGCATGATTGGCTGGGAGAAAAATCACAGTGTGAACCATGAAAAATAATTATGATCACAACTCTGTGAGGGAGGGGTTGAGCTATTTTTGAAGTGCACCACAAATGCAGTTAGCAAGAAAACACATGACATCTGACACTTAAGTTATTATCCATTGGTTTTATTACCAATTTGATAAATTTTTCAGACAATGACACTAATGGAATATACATGAAGATTAACAAAATTTTCTCGTGACAAAAACTTCAATGTGACTGGTATTAGAGTTGACTTCCTGCAACACAAAACAGTAACAAGGGTTGTTTAAAAAAATAATGTGTTTCTATATGGATAATATTGAATATCAGATTTGTACTTTTATTAAAAACCTTGTAACATAAGAATTACCAGTTGATCCCATGATCCCATCTTACCCCAATCATCCCAATGGGCCCATGGGCATGGGGTAAGATGGGATCAGATCAGATCACTTTTTTTAATCTGTACAGAAAACTATGTTAGATGCAAAATATCTGAGTTGTAGCTTAGAAGCCCATTGCATAACTACACCTTGGGATAGGTTTAGGGGGTTTTTAGTTATTCATGGTATAGATGCTACAGGCTTGTTAGTGGTTTCGGTCCTGTCTTACCCCATCTGACTATACCGTATACTATACCATCCTTTGACTTAGGCCTACACCTCGAACTAGGCTAGCCTACAAAAAGAAGGCTTTTGGATTCTTTGTTGCATTTTCAGCAATATTTTTTTCAAAATTTTTCACTGCAGTGTGACAAACTTTTTCACTTTTCAGCTTAATTTCAAGCTCTTGCATACAGGTTACAATCAGAATCGCTGCAAGATCGTAAATAACGCTTGTACTTGTAGGCTTCTTTCTTCGTCTTTAGCTGAGCTTCAACTGCACTGTTCAAGTGTTCATCCACTGGGACTTTTTGACTCCTCCAAGCGTAATCTTAGACTTAGGACTAAGGTACACTGTTACACAGGCATGAGGCATCAACTGCTGAACTGCACTTACTGCAGACATAACCATGTCTTTGAGAAACGACCATGAATCAGCCACATTCATGTCCTTTATACCTAGTTAATACAGTCCAAAATATTCGCCGCATTCACTTAGTTTAACAAATTAACATAGTTGCCTTCTGAAAAATTCAACCGTTCACACTTCCGGACTCAATCCGGAGCGTCTTTTCTGCATAGCACTCGATACTTAAAAACAATGATTGCCATTGATTGGTGGTGGCTGGGTCGCGGGTCGCCTGCCGAAAACCACCACTGCCCTGGATGTGAGTGGACCATCATACCATGATTCCTGCCTTCCGGAACGTAGCCTTCAACACTTCAAGCCGTCCGTATCTAGGCCGTGGGTCGAACCAGCCCTCGGTCGAACGGCCACTTGTCGAATGACGATAAATTTTGGAACAGAACTATGCTATCTGAAACCTAACCTCAGATGCGGTGAATGTAAAATTACGTAATTTAACGATGCCCGGAAGTCAGATTCGATCCGCGGCCTGGTGTGCACGGCTGGTGGTGGTCAAGGCCGGAAGAGGACAAAGCCGAGTGGTGCACGGCTGATTGGTGGATGTCCGGAGAGATCCAAGGCGTTCGATTCAGGGCTTATTGGTGCACACAATTGGTGGTGCACGCCGCACGGCTGCGCTCCCGTGGTGCTATTGCCTAACGGAGCTTCGTGGCGACACTCATCTAACATTGATTCTTCACAAGAAAATAGATTTTTCACTTTCAATCACAAGATCTAGAATATCTGGGCGCTGTTTACCCCTAAAATGGGTTGGCGACTTGATGTTCTGGATTAAAAATTAGTCTCGCATAGACTCCAAGAACAGGGATGCTGGGTGATTCTCACTGATTCCCTTCTCTTGGAGAGGATTCATATCAACCCAGTGTTTCTGGATGGTTCCGAAACCAACGATCAACGTATGCGGCCTACTGTAAGTCATGCTCGACTCAAAATTTGCTTATTATACAATGAAATTAAGATTATTGCCCGGCATAACTTGACACATTTGTTTTCCGTTTTAGTCACTTTGTAGCAGCACCCGCGGCAGTGGCATTGAAGCAGTTCTCGTTGCAGTCGCTTGGAAGCAGTTCGCGACTTCGCGTTGCGGTCGCTTGATAGCAGTTCGCATTGCAGTCGCCTCCCATACGGATGCTCTCCTTTTAAATCTTACATTGCACTCAATAATTAAATAAAATGAATGTCTAGCTAGAGTTCTGACTGGTTTCATGTCTCATGTGGGCAAACAATGTTGAAAAATAATGTTGTATTCAACCATTAATTACATTGGAATTGAATTTTTGATGAACGTTCTCGTTTTCCAGATGGAGCAACTACTGAAGACAGCTGGTCCCCGGCCAGCTCTTCACACCAAATACTCTAGCCCCAGCGAGCAGCAACATATATGCACGAATGGCGGGCAAGCCTGAGCCGTGGCCGAGCAGGCGAACACTACGAGTTCACTTACGGTCGCTGCTGCAAGTGGCCACCCTCTGGAAGCCCGAAGGTACTACAACAGAATTATTTTTATCACCCTCACTATCGAGAAGCACCCGCAAGATTTGAGAGGATCGCAAGATTTTTAGTCTCCTCGCTACTATGAAGTGCGACCCAGACGAACTTTGAATGGGCCGCAGGATTTACATCGCTACCAATACTCCGAACAGCGACCCGCTAAAGATTCATAAGTGCGCAGGACTTGATCAATTCGTTAATTTTGAATAGCGTCCCGCTAAGAGCTCTAATGGGCCGCACGCCTTCTACGACTCAGAAGAAGCGACCCGCTCGGTGGAGCTCGGTATACCATGTGGTACCATTGTCTCAGAAGTCGAGTACTCAATACTTTGAGTGCGACAATGAGGGGAGAATAATAACAGCTAACTGTCGAGAATAACGGGACAGTGCGCATGATTCTCCTAGCCGTTTGAGCTTGCTTGTGCATGCACACAAAGATTACGGCGGAGAACAAGACATATGAGGTCAAACGGGTGCGGGCTATTGGTGGCAGCCTTTACAATGTCGTGCATTTTCACGACCTCAACAGCAAAACCTCTTCTGATCTCTTCTATAGGCCAAATTACGGATGCTATTTTCAAGCATGCCGCTAAAATAGAGGGAGAATCAAGATTCTCATTGCGGAAATTCCGTAAATTTTACACATCAACCGCCAAGTGTTTTTCTGGTGACGACTTGGGCGAGATGCGCGAAATATGGCTCTCGTCATGGGCCACGACTATGCAACTAATAATCAGTTTTACACCGTAGAGTCTTCTAAAAACCGTCATACCAGATTCAGGGACAATATGAAAAAACACTAGGACAGGGTCGACGCCGACGCTGCCGCAGCTGCTTCGCAACATCGCATAGACCCGGCAACCGACGTCGGCCAGGAAAATGTCCGCTCACTTGACCTAGCCTTTGATGACGAGGAAGAAGCTGTCAAGCAAGAGATACTGAAACAAGACAGACGCATCCTTCTCCAAAGAACCATTTGTTCAGTTCCTAAGTCTGACTAACAATTGAGAAAAATACGATGAGAAA